CACGCAAACTCGATTGCTCTTGCATGCGCCATGAGCTTATTGATAGATGATCCATACACGTATGCACAGTCGCACACAGGGCACTGGTCTCCTGGCAGTGTCCATGGAGGTGAGAGCGTGAGGCAGCTGCGGCCGCCGCCGTGCGGACCCGGCGCGGCTAGGCCGTGCGAGGTAGCCACACGACGTAGGGCATGTGTCGCTGCCTATCAGCGTGTTCATGCCCAACCAGGCAGCTAGGTTGAGGAAGAAAGGTGTCTCTACGGATGAATTCACGGCGACAGCAGCCATCGTGACAGAATGTTGTTTGAAGGTAACAATTCGTTCTTTCGGTGGTATTTTACGTGACGGGCGTCTTTTGATGGCATTTTTCGAATGTCCTGATCTTTGATGCTATGAAACCAATTTTTCCTTTTTTATTTTTAACTTTTTCGTAATACACTTTTTAAGAATAATACAGTTTTTTTTAATCTAACCTGTTTGGCCGCGTCTAATGTCCATGCGCTGCCAAACCATGCTGACGCGCCATGTATGGTGACGTGGCTGGCCTGCCACCGTGGTAAGCGCTAACCGGTGACGTGGCGCCCTCTGCCACACCATCGACGCCGATGCGGCGTTGTGGCGCCAACTGGCCTTGCGTGGCTGCGGCGACTTATCGAACCGTGGGCGGCTTCCTCTCTCTCTTCCTCCCCTGCTCGGCTAGGAGCTCCCAGCGGCCACACCGACGCCACCGGCCTCCTCCGGGCCGGATAGACTTATTGGGTTCATATATTTCCTATAGAATTTGATAGATTTTAAGAACAGAATTGGATGGTCACGGGCTACTGCACAGATGGTTGATGGTCACCTGGCCCAACAGCAGGGGAAAAAGTCTATATAACCCCCAACTATTTATGGTGGACTACTTCACCTCCAAAACTATAAAACCAGATTTTCTACCCCCTGAACTTTCTAAAACCGGTCAAACCCCCCCCAAGCGGTTTTGTACGGTGGTTTTGATACAGTGATGGAGGTTTTATCTTTTTTATTTATTTATTTTCGATGAATCTTTAAAAAATCATAGAAAAATCATAAAATAGAAAAATTCAATTTTGTTAGACTCCACATGAGTAGATCTATACATTGAACATATAGGGCCTGTTTGGGACGGCTCTACTCCAATTTTTTCTGCTCTGCTCCACCAACTCCACTATAGAGTAGCTCCACTGTGGAGTTCCTGGAGCAAATGTGACTGTTTGGTATGCAGCTCTGCTCCACCTTCGGTAACAGGAGGTTTTGGTGGAATGTTCTTCTATGCCCTTGGCACACCCATCATCAGCATGACCAACACCATATCCGCGGACGGCCATGGCCCAGAGGTTCTCCAACGCACCTGAGCTCTCCGGACCCGACGGAGGGCACAGCGTGGCCATCCTTTGTTCTCTTGGAGCATCGGGTTGCAGATCTGGAGGCCGTCGTAGGAAGCGAGCAAGTGGAGGTCGTCCTCAGAGGCAGCGGGGCTGAGCGTGGCCGGGGCGCTGCTCGCCGGTGGCAGAGGGAACAGAGCGCGGCCAGGGCGCCGCTCACCGGTGGCGGCGGGGCCAAGCGTGGGCGGGCCGCCGCTCGCCGGGGGCGGAGGGGCCGAGCGCGGCCAGGGCGCCACTCGACGGTGGTGGAGGGGCCGAGCGAGACCGGGGCGCCGCTCGTCGGTGGCGGCGGGGCCGAGCGTGGATGGGGCGCCACTCGCCGGTGGTTTGGGGAGGACGGGCTGGAGCAGAGGAGAGAGGCGACGGGAGTAGAGGAGGATGAGGGCGTCGGGTGGGGGACGACGGGAGGAAATAGAAACGAAACGGTATTTGTGTAATGAGTGGCAATTGCGTGTAATTACCTCCAACTCCACGAGGACATATGAAACGCTGGTTTGTGGAGTACCCTCTGAGGAGCTCCGCGAAAAATATGGAGTTTGACCAAAACTCCATCTTTTTTTGGGAGCAGAGTTTGTGGAGTTGGACCTGTTTGGTAGGAAAGTTTGGAAGCAGAGCTACAAAAGGTGGAGCAGAGCAGTCCCAAACAGGCCCATAATATGGTATTCTTTAGTACAATTTTTTTGTTGTAGCTTTAGATCTATACTTTTCTATAATTAAATGAAATAATTCATAGTTGCAGCTTTTATAATCCAATTGTGGTAAAAATTTTATAGTGGACTAATTATTGTATGCTTAAATTATAGTAAAAATTTCATACTCATTGGATCATGTATAATTAGTTATAGATAAAGCATAGATTTAGCAAGCATAAACCTAAATAAATTTATAACTAAGTTATATATGATCTAATGAGCATGAAATTTTTACTAGAGTTCAAGCATACAATAATTAGCCCACCATAAAAATTTCACCACAATTGGACCATAGAAGCTGCAGTTACGAATTATTCCAATTAATTACAGAAAAGTATAGTAGTAAAATCACCGTCCAAAACCGCCGCTACTACCATCTCAACCACATCGCTACAGTAGAAAAGCATAGATCTAAAGCTAGAAATAAATAAAAAGGAAAAGACAAACCCACCGTCATTGTAGTAAAAAACCACCGTTAAACCGTTTGGGGTTATTTGACCGGTTTTGAAAAAATCTAAGGGCTAGAAAATCCGATTTTATAGTTCGTGGGTGAAATAGTCTTCCCTGAATAGTTTGAAAGGTTATATAGACTTTTTTTCCAACAGCAGGTCTCTTTTACTTGAGATCCACAAGTACTCATCTCTTTTTTTTTTAGAAACCATAAGTATACATCTCTTATGCTAAAAACGAATGATACAGGCCGAGGGGGCGTGACAATCGCGACAATCGAGATACTACGACCAGAGAAGTCCATCGCAAGCTTCTTCTGAAACTGAAAACAGCAGCATAGCAATATCAAAGCGCAGAAAATTCACAAGAAATATATCCAGAGAACTGTAAGGCGCCGAACAATAAAATAAGGGGTTCTTGAGATTAAGATAATCTAGAGTGCACGTTTACAATTGGCACATACAGACTTGTACAGAATGCCACAGTGCCACCAGTGTTCTGGATAGAATAATTCACTGACTGTACAAAAGCATATGGCCCTGTTCGTTTCGTTGAAAAGTCATGACTGAAAGTACTAGTTCGCTGATTTGTTGTGAAAGAAAAAACCATATCCAGCAACACCATATCGAAGGTGGATTCCTGGTCAAGGGGGCAACTTCCTCGCTGTCCTCTGGTTCTGGGACGCCCAGTAGCTTGTTCATCTTTTTTATGACCACTTCTTCTGTCATAAAACCACCGAAGAATTTGACCTGCCAAGGATTTAGATGAAGACATGATCACCTAATTCAGCAAGACTTTTAAGCATCCATAACTACGTTACCACCAACACTGATTTTTTTTTTCACTAGTGATGATATCAAGCAACACCATATCCAAGGTGGATTCCTGGTCAAGGGGGCAACTTCCTCGCTGTCCTCTGGTTCTGGGACGCCCAGTAGCTTGTTCATCTTTTTTATGACCACTTCTTCTGTCATAAAACCACTGAAGAATTTGACCTGCCAAGGATTTAGATGAAGACATGATCACCTAATTCAGCAAGACTTTTAAGCATCCATTACTATGTTACCACCAACACTGATTTTTTTTTCACTAGTGATGATATCAAGCAACACCATATCCAAGGTGGATTCCTGGTCAAGGGGGCAACTTCCTCGCTGTCCTCTGGTTCTGGGACGCCCAGTAGCTTGTTCATCTTTTTTATGACCACTTCTTCTGTCATAAAACCACCGAAGAATTTGACCTGCCAAGGATTTAGATGAAGACATGATCACCTAATTCAGCAAGACTTTTAAGCATCCATAACTATGTTACCACCAACACTGATTTTTTTTTCACTAGTGATGAATGTGGACACCTGGGATGGTCTAGGCAAGGAAATCAAGCATAAGGGTTATTTAGTAACATATTACCACATTATCCTTATGGACATACGCATGAATTCTCGCTGTAGGATCCTCAAGAGTCAACCGAATACAATATTTACGAGTCGAAAGCAACGGAGTTCACTAGCTCGACAGGGATATGCTGCCACAACACGGACCAAGGTTTTCAATTTGTGCGTCACCTACCACAAAAGAAAAAGGAGATATTGAAGCTGGTTAGCTTTAGAGTCAGAGTTCAGAACACTCATGGTTCTGTGTTACTAAGGAAGCAAAATATATAGTTTTCTCATGAAAAGGGAGAGATAAATCACTGGGATACAACTGAAAGTAAACATGCTCGCATGTTCTCAGGGTGTTGGATAATATTAGACCAAATCAAAAACAGAAATAAAACTAATAAATAACTGGAGAAAAATGGGAAAGAAGTAATACCTCATGATGAGTTAAAGACTCCATCAACGTTGAGTAACCAGCTTTCTCATATTCTACATCTGACAGAATTGATAACAAATTGTCATGAGGAAAGCCTTTGTGGGCAACAGATGGCAGCCAAAATGCATTACAACTATATGCAGCGGTTCATCAATACAACACATGTAAACAAGCACTTTGACAAGATCATCATGTGCTTCATTTAGATCACTATACACACATACCACACGAGAAAAATATTGAGGTTTGTTTTTATGCACAATAACCTTCATATGCAAATAGAACGGATGAATGCTATAGTATACACTTATTCAGGTAACAATGAAGATAAGGCCTAATGAACAGACTTAAATATTGCTATTTTAATTAATCAGTTAAATGCTGAATCCGAAGCTAAATTCATGATCTGAACGATGAAACAGAATATGTTCATCAGTGATTCAGAGGAGCAATGCAAACTATCAGACTACTAGGCTCTATACCAGCAACATTAGAGGGGAAGCTTGCCATCGGCTGGCGGTGAACTTTGTTGGCGTTGCGGCTGTCATACATCCTGGAGGTGTTCATGTAATTGGTAAAGTTTACTTATACGATGTCCACAGAACAGTAAAATTCATCAGAAAAGAAAATTACTTCAGATGATCAACAACGCTACCATCTTCATGAGATAAAAGGCGAACTCTACTAGAGTACAAGAAAACGCCTTTCCAAATGCCAAACTCTTGCTTGCAAGTAATGTTGCAGAACCTGGCCCAATAAATACCCTTTTGCATGTGTAATACTTTATTGACAGACCTGTCTGAAAAAATCCTCAGAACAGTTCCGACACATGGCATTGTGCATAAAACCTCCCTGGGTAGAGGTAGTCCTTCAAGTAGAAGGGGTGATTCAACTGCCTCAGCATCCGAACTATACGTTCACCAATCAATAGCAGAGAGGCACACACAAAAAAAACATGTCAATTAAGTGAAAATAATGACGTGACTGACGTCAGCAAATGTTTTTCGAAGATAAAACTAATTTTCTTTTCATTGACTATGCTTAAGTTCAGTGCACCATATAAGAACAACCAAATAAAGATTAAAAGCTGCAACAATATTTCAAAAACACTAGAGCACCACCCTTATTGCATAGATTTTTTCTATGTTATTGCTGAAAAATTAGAAACAATAAATAAACATAGACAAACCTACATTGCCTGAAACTCAGCTGCAGGGGTATCAGTTCCATCCCAAACATAAAATATCCATTTGCCGCTATTTTCACGGACATGCAAAACCTACAAGAAGGCAGAGAGAATTTTTGGAGCACTCCCTGTACCAAAATAAGTCTTGAGTTTCAATATGATTGAATAAAGAACTAACCTTGCATACTAGATCAAAAGCAGAGACCGACCTTAACTAAGGGCTAAAATGAGATAATGCAAGTTCTGTTGCACTCATAATTTATAAAATATGTAACTCCTTTGGGTAAGAAGAGTTCACAAATAGAATGGCTACACTATACTATTTGATCCTACATATAATTATCGATTAGGAGTTACCTAGAGGATTATTGGGTAGCCACGTTCTCATCTGGGTTAACAGTTCTTTGTCATGTTTCCTGCCATGACATTTCATAGAAGTCTGATATGGGCTGCACTCAGCAGATACTTTGCTTTCAAACAGCGCAAATGAAGAAAACTTTTTGTTAAATGTAACACAGAACTCCCCATGATGCTGTATCTGCAGATCAAAGTAGGCATGAACTAGGTGCTGCAGAATGTGTCACTAAAATTTCAAAAATGATGAGAAAAGAAAATAGGCTTAAATAACAACACATATAAAAAGGCATGTGGAAATTTTATAACTCTGAGAAATACCCAGTGACTAATGGCATAATTAAATAGAGTTTTATGCTGTACCACGACGTCGTGGAGACTGATCACATCTCCACTTGACTTGACACAGGGCAATAGGGCAGTGTTGTCAGCAAAAAATGTTGCAGATATTCCAGCCTTGCGTGATTCATCCACAATCCTCAACGTAACAGTGAAATCTGCAAAAACTATAGCCATGATCAAGGGTTCTAGCATTGATTTGAGGATCAAAAGCGAGACTTAGCAATGAACACGGCAACAGAAGGTCCCTCTCAAGTCTCAACGCATAATGCTTCATGCAAAAAGTTGTGAAAGAGGCGATCCAAGGACAAGCGGACAAGCATGTGTCCCCCACAATAGGCAAGCAGCATTTGAGCAGAGAACTAATCCTAATCAACACTATTCAACAAATCTTTCCAAATATATATACTTATCTAACCTCACAGCAAAAATCACAACGGAACCCCACAAATTTCCCTGCCTCCGCAGCCTTTGCAACCGATAACAAACCAGGTGAATCAGACTGAAGAATAACTGAAGAAGGAAGCATACAGCCTGCAACAGCTTACGCACAAACCGCCAACTCTTATCCTGCTAAAATCCGGACTAAACCCTAAGATGAGGCCGACGGCGGTGCGCGGCGCGGAAGGAGAGGAGAGGAGGGGAGGGGTTGAGAGTGAGGCTCACCCGTGCCACGGCTGTGGACGGCGGCGCCGATCTCAGCGACGACGGCGAAGAGGCAGACCCGGACGCCGGGAACCTTGAGGGTGTCGGCGATAGGCAGGTACGTGTACCGAGGCTTCCCGGACGCCGCCTCGAGCAGCCTCTTCCATACCTCGCGCATCCTCGCGTCGCCCTCGCTCGCATCGCCCTCGCGCGGCCTCTTCCGCTCCCTCGCTGATGCCTCCTCCATAGCCTGCGTGTGAGTGACTGTAGCGTGCGGCAAGCAACCCTGGCCCTAAGTAGGCAGTTCAAATCGACCTGCCGTTTGGATCCTAAGGCGTATATTGCGGATAAAAGAAAGGGATAATTGATTCATGCTATTATAATTTTCGACGTAGGGAGAAACGCTATTATTATTTATCTATTTTGAAGTATGTCATTATAATTTTTCGTTTTCCACAAAAATACTACTGAATACGTATGGACCGCGATCCAGGCCCACTGACGATATCTGAAGACGTATACTTCATCACCCATGTCACTGACACGCGGACCCCACATGTCATCTTCTTCTTCCTCCTCTCTCTCTCCATCCTGACGCGGCCACGGCGAGCCGCAGCAGCAGCAGCAACCAAGCACGCTGCAGCCATGGCGGGCGGAGCTCCTCCGCCTCGAGCTCCCACGCTGCCATGGTGGGCGGAGCTCCCACGCGGCCATGCCATGCCGCCACGCCACGGCAGCGGAGCGGGCGGGCCAGAGCTCCTCCGCCTAGAGCAGCAGATAGCAAAGAGCCCTGTGGGCGAAGCTCCAACCGCCGGAGCGTCAGCTCCGCGGACGGGGACGATGGCGCGTCCGCCTCCAGCTCCGGCCACCGCGAGAAGAAGCTCCGCCTCGTCAAGTCGTCATGGGGCTCCACGAGCTGTTGCTGCTTGCCCACTCCTGGTGGCGCCAGCGGAGCTCGAGGCGCGGGAGCTTCGGCCCACCATAGCTACGCGTGAGCTCCACCCACCATGGCCGTGCAGCAGCTCCGCCCGCCATGGCCTCATCGGGATCGAGGCGGAAGCTCACGCCCGCCATGGCCATGCGTGCAGCAGCCGCCAAGACCACGCGGCCACGCGGGCGAAGCTACAGACCTCCTCCTTGATCGCCCCATCCCTCCACTCCTCCCGTCGAGCACATCACACGGGCGGCTCTCGCCCACACCCCTTCGATCGCCCATCAGAGAGAGATGAGGAGAGGAAGAAGAAGATGACAGGTGGGGCCCGCGTGTCAGTGACAGGGAGATGAAGCATACGTCTTCGTATACGCCCGCAGCTGGGCTCAGGCTATGTCCATACGTATTCAGTGGCATTTTTGTGGCAAACGAAGAATTATGGCCCCGTTCGCTGGTCTGAAACTTGGCTGAAAAACACTGTTCCGGCTGATTTGTTGTGAGAGAAAAATACTGTTTGGCCGGTTTGATGAACAGTGCATTGAGAGGAGAGATCACCCGGTAACTGGTCTTATAAGACCAAAGCAAACGGCCCCTATAATGACATACTTCAAAATAGACGAATAGTAATGATGTTTCTTCGAACATCAAAAATTATAATGGCATGAATCCAATTAACCCTAAAAGGAATCCCAACAGTTTTATTTGATTGCAAGTGGGTTTGAGTTAGGCGACGTTTGGATTGCAAGGGGTTTTGTGCATCCATATAAAAAATCCCAACAGTTTTTTTTAGATTTCAAGATTCTAAAAAATATGTGAGAATCCCTATAAAATATAGGGCTAATTGAATCTGTGCCATTATAACTTTACCGTTTCTGAAACACACCATTACTAACATTACAATTCTCGTCAAAGCTGAAATATGGCATTATATACGTATATAACGTCTTTGGGCCCATGTGCAAGTGTACGGACAATTTTGTATTTCGTATAGACCAAAATACCCTCTCTCACTCTATCTCACTTACAGGCAGGCCCAATGTGTCATCCCCTTAGGCTATCTCCAACAGGAGACCCATTGCGAAACCCAAACCCAAAATGGACCTCCAACATAATACCTATAGACTCCAACAGAGTACCTATATGAAAGACTCATTTTGGGTGCTAAGAGAGACATAACCCAAATCTGAGTATCCTCTCTCCTGGAGACCCATTTGCAAAAAGGATTGTCTTTTGGTCTTATTGTTGGAGAAGACCAAAAATATGTATTGAACACCTTGCATGTAGCGCTACCCAAAGAACGAATGGGTCTTATATTTTGGGTCGCGGTTGTTGGAGACAGTCTTATATTTTGGGTTTTACTATTCAATAGACTGGGAGGGGTATTTTGGTTCATAAGAAAATACAAAATTGTCCATACGCCTGCACGTGGGCCCGAATACGTCGCAAACGTATAAAATGGCATGTTTTAGCTTTCACAAGAACTATAATGGCACTGGCACAGTTTCATAAATAGTAATAGCGTGCTTTAAAAACAACATAATTGTTATGGCGTATATCTAATTAACCCTAAAATATAAATCGTTTGGATGAGAATCTAGGACGTGCGATTTTTTCGATCCGGATTCTTAAAATCCGGAGGATCCAAACAGAACAGGGAGCAAAGGCCGTCACGTAGAATTTGATATGGAGGAAAGAGGGAGGGGAGAACAAAAAGGTCATGGTTTCGCGAAACAACCGTTTGATGAGCTAAAATTTAAGACAATGTGAAACAACTGTTGTACCATTATATTAGTTGTTGTCATGCAATTCACAACTTTATTTTTATTCTATACATAAATTAAGAAATTATGAGTTACTGTGAAAAAACTTATAAGACAATCATTCTACGTATGTCAATTAAGTCGTCTTAAATTACTTGGCACTGTATGAAGGCAGCGTGGCAGCGTCAATATACTTGCCCTCGTGGTCCTAGGTAGTTGAAATTAGCATGTTTGATTTAAGCTCGGGTAGGACAGAGCTGTCTGGCTGACCTAGGCATAAATCCCACGCAGTCAAAAGCATGTTTGGATGACGTCCTAACATGGGGTCTCTCCCAGACAAGTGCATTCATCCCACAGTCGCTCGAAAATCGAACATCTTGGAGCCATGTTTGCCCTAGGCAAGGTTCCTAGATCAGAAGACCAAATAGCCCCTTAGGACGTGTTTGGTTGGAGCATGCGTTGAATTTTGGAGGCTTCAAGTTGGGATAGATGTCTGGCCAAGTTGTCTCTGCAATAGGGCTTCAACCAAACCACCCCTTGATTTTAGAGGTCTGAAGTTAAAATTGTTGCATGGACTAAAAGTTGTCTGGGAGGCCTCTAAACAAACAGATGTCTGGGTTGTAGCTCCTAATAAACAAGGTTGCCTAGAGGCCAACCAAACAACCCCTCGCATGAACAGGATGGGTGACTATTTAATTCTAAGGACAAACAAGGATAGGATAGGGAGACCCTCCATCCACCCAGTGCTTGCCCATGGATGGAGTAGAACGGTCGATACCATTAGTTGGAATATTCGATGAAGATTCAAAGCGAGTATGTTCCAGCAAAAATGAGAGAATGGACTCTACCCCAATTGACATGACGTCTTTTGTCTTTGGGTAGCCGTATGCGAGCATCGGTGTGGTTCTTGCAGCAGGGGTAACATGGGGAGGCCTTATCAGCGAACTCAAGGGTGGTGGAGATAGGGCTATAGCTCGGAGCAATGACAATAACCCAAGTCACCCGATCTAGGGTGTGTGGCCGAGTCTTTGGCGGATGGCGCCAGTTGTGTGGCATGGACGGTCTCGGGAGCGAGGAGTGAAAGTGGGTGATATAGTGGCTATATAGGCAGGCGACACATGATTGGTGGAAGGACGAAGGCTGGGAGTACAGGGGGCTCGATCCCCCGTCACTCCTCCCTGCCAGATCGGCCTCCCAGCCAGATCAGCGCCACCGGTCTCCTGGTCACACCTCCAAAAGTTTGATATAGTTTACTTACTAAACTAACAGATCTAGCAAATTAACAGAAAAAATAACAACTTTTAAGTCATGTTCTTGTTCAACAGTCTGCTATAATAATGTTCTATAAGATTTTGTGTTAGGAACCCAAAACTATTTCTAACTAACTACACTCTTTTAATTTCTTTATCTCTTGCTACTTTCTCATCTGGAACCATTTATTTTATTAATTTACTCATACGTCTACTTACGAGTTGAAGTGTTCGACAACTTTTTATTTTTAATTAAGGAGCCTTTTACCGAACTGTTGGGGGTACCTTTTTATTCTAAAAAATCAAAATACGGATTTTTTTATAAAACTTCTGGAGATGCTCCTGTTTAGATTAGATGCAAAATATTATTTGAGTATTAGAGAAATACTTTGATTTTTATTAAAATCTGCCGGATCTCTGATTCAATAATTTTTATAGTTTCTAAAACCATAATTTTGCCAAAAGTGCAATCTTTTTTAAGTTCTAACAACTGTCCTCAGAACTGTTTTTTTCTAAATTATTTTTAATCTCTTTAATTTATAACACTACAGTTATATAGTTCTCGAAAACTACATCACCCAAACAGATAATTTAGTAAAGCAGCCAGTGTTGTTCATTACCGCAACAAATTGATCAACTGGTCATAGCTAAAACGTGTATAGTATAAACGCGGTTCTTTTTTTCTAAAAGGAAAAGGAAAAGAAAGTCAGTCCTGATGCAATGAAAATTTAAATCTCGTTTCTCCTTCCAATTCCAACCATTTTTAATTACATGCTTCGATGCAACAACAACAAAAATATATAAAATCATGTTCAGGTAAAGTAGTCTCGTCAACAAGGAATAGGAAAAATTGAAGAGTTTGCGTGCACGTCCGGGTGCTGGAAACGCTGACTGAACAAAAGCTGCTCTGCATTGTTTATTTCGGTCAGTTCTATCCAATCGAGTCATCAGACAGACCAAAGTTAAACCCTCCTAATTCACCCACGTGTATCCACAGTGTCTTCTGCCCTCCTGTTTAGGCTGCATACAATGCGATTAAGAACGGTAACTTATTAGTCTGACAGCTTTTTCCTCTCACCGTGATTCAGTAAACCGTACTTTTCAGCGGGACAGGGCCGACCTCTAAATCATAACAGTCGTATAGAAAGCGATGGTCGCTGCTACAATGTGAATAGTCGTATAGCAAGGTCGTCGCTGCTGACAGTGCTACCTGTGTGTGTACGGAAAACAACAGATGATCAATTCACAACAATCTATCTTTTTGAACGCAATACAGAAATCTCAATCTGCACAGAAACGAGAAAACAAACCTCTATCTATGATCCTTAGCTACATACAATCTGTATCATCTACATTGAATACATGAAACAAAGGCAGCATAAAGTGCAACAAAATCTAGCTCAGCTAGCTCTTGGACTTTGAGTGGCGGCGTCCTGGTTGTCCGTGCACCGGCGCTGGCGTCGACGAGGTGTAGGAGGAGGACTTGTGGCTGTTGTGCTGCTGCAGCTGCTCGAGCTCCGGCAGGACGGCGTCGGCCATGGCGGGGCGGTTCTTGGGGTCGTTCTGGAGGCAGCGCAGCGCGAGCGCGGCCACCTCCTGCGCCTGCTTCTTGGGGTACTGCCCGCCTAGCCTGGTGTCCATGATCCGGATCACCTTCCGGCGATCCCCGAGCTGCGGGTACGCCCAGTCCACCAGCGTCGCCGCCGACCCGCCACGGGCGTCGTCCACGGCGCGCCGCCCCGTCATGAGCTCCAGCAGCACGACGCCGAAGCTGTACACGTCGCTCTTGGTCGACAGGTGGCCCGTGACGATGTACTCCGGCGCGGCGTAGCCCCGGGTCCCCACGACGCGCGTGGAGACGTGGCTCTTGTCCCCCGTCGGCCCGTTCCTGGCCAGCCCGAAGTCCGACAGCTTGGCCCTGTAGTCGGAGTCGAGGAGGACGTTGGAGGACTTGAGGTCGCGGAAGATGACGGGGCTGTCGTCGCGGGAGTGCAGGAACGCCAGGCCGCGCGCGACGTCGATGGCGATGGAGACGCGCATGGGCCACGACAGCGGCTGCGTGGCGCGGCGGAAGAGGTGGTTCTCCAGGCTGCCGCGGAGCACGTACTCGTACACCAGCAGCTTGTTGGCGCCGGAGTCGGAGCAGTAGCCGACGAGGGTGACGAGGTTGGCGTGGTGGAGCTGGCCCAGGTAGGTGACCTCGGCCAGCCACTCCCGGTGGCCCTGGAAGCTCTCCTCCTTGAGCTTCTTGATGGCCACCATCCGGCCGACGCCGGGTCTCGTCGGCGCCAGCGTCGCCTCGTCGATCCACCCCTTGTACACGCACCCGAACCCGCCCTCGCCCAGGTACGACGTGGACCCGAAGTTCTTGGTCGCCGCGCGGAGCTCGCTCATGCTGAACGACTTGAGCCCGGCCCCGGCACCGGTCCCCGCGCTCGCCGCCTGCACCTGCACGTCGGAGCCCGCTATCTGCCCGGACAAGGCCGACGAGCTGCCGATGCTGCGGCGCGACGCTAGCTTATTTGCGGTCGTCGTCGAGTTACTGTTATTGGACGCGGTGCTCCTGCTTGTGACCTCTGAATGAAAATGAAATCGATCGATCGATTCAGAGGATGGAAAATTGAATTAATTAGAGAAAGGAAAGCGAAGAAATTGTTTGCGTCTTACTTGATTCAAATGGAGTGGATGCATTGGCGCACTTTGCAGAGCCTGTGCAGCAGTTCCCCATTATATCCTGATGATGATACCACTAGCTGCTACAATTTCCTCCTTTCTGTACTTGTCAGTGCTCCTCTAAATAGATCAACGAAACGACCAGAAGCAGCTGATGTAATGAACTCCAAATGGAGCACTTAAAGTTGTATAGGATGTGAAAGGCAGGCAGGCGAGGTGCATGAAAGTCCAGTCAAGGGAGGGAGGGAGATGCTGACGGTGGGTCTGTTGACTGACCTGATTTGCATCGATGCATTGCATCCGGCTTGTCAGTCAAGCAAAGCAAGCACACAAAGGCTAATTCCCTGCCACTACTTGCTTACTTACAGCTTCCAAGATACTTCTCCCAGAGCCAAAAGTTAAACGACACACCAGATTAACCACCATAAACAAGCCCATGGAAAGGAAGCTTTTGACAGCTAGCTTCAACTTTCGCAGTAGCAAACTAGGGACTAGGGAGGGAGGGGTCGTTTCTCTGATGGAAACACCTTTGAAAGGACAAACACAACACGTCTGATTCGGTCTTCAGCTAGTATTTTTTGAGCGCAATGAGCTAGTACTAGAAAGGACATAAATAAAAAGGAATAAAATTGCATACAGTGGGCCGCAAGAGTGTGCGTGGTCAGATTGGAGTAGCATGGAAACTGTCATAAAGTGCTGTTGTCGCTTTCAAGCTGATGGATGAGAAACTTACGGCGACTGTATCCTTTCTATCACGAGTAATTTAGAGCATGGAAGACAACAAATTTGCCAAATTCAGCGCATATGGTGAATATAAGATGTTGCAACACCGCTAGCTGTTCAGTAATGCACAGCGCGGAGAACATCTGACTGATGCTTACGAATCCACATTCATCTAAATATTACGTAGACACTAACTCCGTTGAGAGTGTTCATATCATGAGGTGAGGTCCGTCAAACAATTGATATTTGGAGTTGGAGATTATATATTGGGGCTCTCGTGCGGCTCACACGTGCATTGGTCGACCAAGTAAAAGTCAAGGGCTAAGAATTCCAAACAAGATCATAGGCTAGATTGGAATTTGCAACCAGTTTTTTTATCAATTCCAAACAAGCAAGGTAGACATTACTGTGGAACACCTTATCCATGTCGGTCCATGGGTGCCAATTCTTATGCACACTTGGTCCTCTGTTTGTTTTTTTACATGTCGAATTTGTTTTGTTTTAAGTCGGACATTTGTGTCTTTGATCATCATTCTTTAAAAAAAATATAAGTTTATGATCTAAGATGTTTTTATATTTACTACGAGAAATATTTTCATAATATATAATTCATATGTAGTGAAACTATATTTTTTTAATGGGTAATCAAAGATAACAATGTTTGGCGCTAATGTGACATGTAAAAGAACAGAGAGAGAAACTGGCCTGGCGCCAATCTAACACGATGAGAAAGAAGCCTTCATCCCTCTATGTTTTGTTTCTTCTAATTTCTGCTATATTAATTACTTCTTTAGTCACGTTGTAACGCCCCAACCCGGAGACGGCTTTTATCCATTCTGCACGTTGAATGTACCAAACCTGCTAATTAACTCTCTTGTGTTTTCGTCCTCGCTTCGCGCAAAAAGTTCAAACCGGAGTTGATGGCCTCACAGAGCTTAAGCTTTTAAGTTGGTTCAACCCTTCCTCTGGTTCCGAGGTGGTACTAAGCCTGTCCACTACAGTACATTCTGAGGCTACAGTAACCAACAACCCGAGCTACAGTAGTTCGGCTGCCCAGCCCACCATCAGACCCGCCCAGCTTTGGCCCATTTAGTGGGGTCTCACATACACCCACCTTTGAGGACTCGACGTCCTCGTCGAGGACCGAACCAACCTACCAAAACGGGACAAATGTCCAGAATCAACTCTCTTGGTCCACGTCCATATTTCTAGCTCCCCGGCCCAAGTGCCATGCTACAGTACCGACAACCTGAGCTACAGTAGTTTGGCGGCCCAGCCCACCAACAGACTGCCCTAGCTCTGGCTCATTTAGTGGGGTCTCACACCCGTTGTATGCACTTTTTTCGATCGGGTACAATTTGAACGCACATAACCCACACACTATACACTCACACCACATGCACACACATGTGTGCGCGTCACTACACATGCAAAGAAGCAAAGAAGAGATTGGGAGGCACGCCGCCTCCTGTGCACAGGAAACACACGTGCGTGTACCCTAAAATTTATGGAAAAAAATCAAAAAAAAGTGTGATCAACTCTGGTGGGTAGCATCCTCTTGGACAGCCCCCCAATGAACCACATGCCCATTCGCCCACTGTGTGCACTTATACACTCTTGACCTTCCAACTGGATTCAGTGGTGAAGACAGGGATGGGTTGGAGGAACGAGGCATGGTCACCTCTAACTTTGTTTTTTTCCATTGCGTCTTTTAATGACCTAGCTAATCTACCATGTAATAGCCCACATGGATCACCTAGATCCATTGGACTAGGGAAAGTGGCCGGGCATGGAGTTAGGCCAGGATGCAAAAGAGAACTAAGAGCAAGTAAAACAATTGGCTTATAGCCAAATTAATCAATATTTTGATGATATGGAAGAGAGAAGAGAGATTGGCTCTTATGTAAGCAACAAATTGGACACAAAAAGCATATGCATTGGTGGTGAAGGGACCGAGGGGCGCCCTAAGAGGAGGGGTGAATTAGGCAACTTAAAAATCTAACTCTAAACTATGGCCTCTTTTTCTAACCCTAGTAAAATTATGCAAAAGATAATCTATCTAGATGTGCAACTACGGTTTTGCTAGTGTGTTGCTATCTCTACCGCAAATGATAATAAAATGATCAATGTAAATGCGAAAGCTAAAGAGCAAGGTAGATATATGCAAACTCCCGTCGACGACTCCGGTATTTTTACCGAGGTATCGAGAAGCGCGCAAGCTTCCCCTAGTCCTCGTTGAAGCCCCTCGCAAGGAATCCCTCGCAAGGGCCAAGCTCCCGGTCGGGTAACTCCGTGGATAGCCTCGGGCCTTTCCCACGCGTAAGTGGGTCTCCGATGTGCCTTCCGGCAAGCCTCTCCCGGATGCTCCCCGCCGTCTTCACTATCAAGCTTTCGGCCGAAACGCCGCGGGCCTTGTTCCCTTCGGTACACGGTGGCGGCCGCACCACAAACGCGGTTGGTGCGATCTCGCAAGACTTCAAGCCCCTCCGATGTACAACTCTTGTGCTCGCAAGCACGGGGTGGCAAGAGGTATGCAAACCTCACTAAACACTAGGCATACACCTAGAGCAAGCGCATAAGCGGTGGTCTAATCAACCTAAGCACTTCGCAAAACACCTACGCTAATCACCTGATGAAACACTAAGCACTTAGCAAGTGGAGATCACTAAAATGGTGTATCAATACCCTTGATATGTTTCATCAGCTCCACTATCTTCAAATGGCCGGTTGGGGGTTGTATTTATAAGCCCCACTAAGAAAGTAGCCGTTGGGGTCGAACTCCCGCAAATCTGCTACTGACCGGACGCTGAATCGTCCTGACCGGACGTGTCCGGTCGTCCCGACCGTTGCAACCGCGAACTACCGATCGGACGCTGCCAGCGTCCGGTCGCCTGCCACCGGACGCGTCCGGTCGCAGTTTCGCGCGCCTGGAACCTCTCTGTACTCGATCAGACGCTGCGTTCCTGCGTTCGGTCGGTTGCCGCCAGCGTCCGGTCCTTGCGTCCGTTCGCCTGTCTGCCGAGCCACCGGTCCAGCGTCCGGTCGCGCTTCCAGCGTACGGTCGCCTCTGCGAGCTCGTTTCTTCGCGATCTTGCGCACGGCTTGGTTCCTATCTTCATGCTTGGATTTTGCTTGACATCTTGGGTCTTTTCTTGTGCTTCTAAGGTCTTGCTTGAGGTGTTGATCATCAGATCATCACGTCGCCTTCGTCCAAGTCACGTCTTGCACCCTATTGGACTACAAAACAAACACTTGCAAATTCATTAGTCCAATTTGGTTGTGTTGGTCATCAAACACCAAAATTCAAAGTAAATGGGCCAAGGGTCCATTTTCCTTACAGGTGGGTCCAAATAGTAGTGTATGTGAGGATGTATAAGAAAAGAATGTAAGACATGGTATCACATAATAATAATAATAAATTATAGACAAATACAAGGTAACTATTGTACAACTTGACTTATAGTCAAGTAATTGGCTCTATTATTGACCTTGCTCTAATGAGTCAGGTTTCACTATTGCATGCGACTTCGGCCTAGCATATCAGAATTTTCCTTTCCATCTCTAAATATATCAAAATAGCTGCCATACAATATCCCAAGGGTGTAAATGGTTATTCCCCTAAAACCTATAAATACCAGAGCTTGAGCAAAGTTACATGACAAATATATGCATCTCCTCCATAGAGGAAGACTAACTCTTTAGTGAAGCTGCTTCGTGGTAGAATTGGTAGAACGGGGTTGGTTTTATTGGAGGTGAGATAAGAAACAAAAGAAACAAACACTTCTCCCCCAAAAAGTCACGTGGCATCTCGATAGACTAAATAGCTTGAGTAAGCTATGAAATGCGACCATGCGGGGAAATCTTTCTCTACGAGATCCAGCTCTGAAATAGATCGTGTGGATTAATTAGAAAGCACGAGGCAGCTGAATCATTCTGCACAGGGCGACTAGACTAAGTTAATCAAACAATTTAAACTGATTACATGGCAGCTTCGTGCTTGCAGATTAAGTAAAACTCGGTGAACTGCCCTCTCCTAGTTATCGCCTGAAGAATTACAGGAAGTAGCCAAGTAGGCAGCAGTGGTCAAATCCTGTCAGCCTTGGAAAGCACTGTTGCGTGCCATATATGCACCTGTCTTTGTTGTGGCCTGGAATTGTTAATCTCCAAGTATAAAGTTTTCACATCAAGCTTCGCTGAAGGTCATTCTCAGCTACACTTTGTACAAACAAGATTATCCACAAAACTTCCTGCTGCTTAAGATCTTTGCAGCCTGGCTAGCATTTACATGGTGCAATCCTTGATGCTTTAGGCAATTGTCACTCTTCGTGTCATCCATTAGCATTTCCAGCAAGCACTGTGCATCTGACCTTTTCACGGTCAACAACTTCAGGGATTCACTTAGAAAAGGAGAAAAGCTTCAGGTCTTGAACAGAAGGGCCTAAAGATGTGGAGAAGGGCTTTTGTATCAACTCTTAGCTGGATGGCTCCAGGATCAGAGAAACTTACTTCACCCCATCGTATGCTGCTGTAGATGAAGTAGTCGAGGCCTTCCGCTATACTCCTCCAAAGATCAAGGAAATCCTTGGAATTAAGATATCGCTTCAACTTAGTGGTCCTGTCTGTCAGAACATCTAGACTGGCAACAAAACCAGGAGATACTCCTGCATTTTCTTCATCCAGGGTCTGATCATCTAAGATGGTCTGTCCACTCCATGATCCAATGTTCTGGACATATTCCCAGGACAGATCTTCAAACTCAAGCAGAACCGAAGATAGTATCTGTTCCAGGTAATTGGTCCCTAATTTAACTAAAAAGCTGATTTCATCTGTAAACAGAGATCCTTGAGGACCCATATCCAAAAAGGTAGTATCTTCATCCCATTCCCGAAGCACATTCTCGCAGTAACGAGCGGCGTTGATTGCACACGAAGTTTTTGACAAAGACTGATCTTCTAATGCCGTATTCGACAATTGCAATGCTTCGCATCGTTCACGCAAGACAAGAAAAGTCATTCAGGAACCTAACTGAAGAGGATCTGTTATACTGGATCTGCATTCCCCTGTTTGGCAGAGCACGGCCTCTTTCAACCATTGACAAAGCAGTTTTGATAACAAATTCACACACCGGAGGAGCTTTGTAGTCTTCTCTTGTAGAGAGAAGAAACTTCATTGAATTTTCCATGTGACCAAGCTGGTCATGCTGACCACTACATGACCAATTTGTCTCATCTTCCATTTCAGATTTCAGCTTATCCTGTGCTGAACTAAGCTCAACATCAGCCCATATCTGAAGCCAATCAGGGTGCTCAGTATATATTGAAAAGGCAGATAAGGACCTAGACAGACCTTCAGAAAGAGATGCAATTTTCTGGATTCCTGAATCCGCTAGAAGCTGCATTCTTTTATCAAAAGAAATCATTACATCATTTAAGTGCATCCAAGAGGAATCTACTTCAGGTTTGCCAACAGTAGCATGATCCTGATAAGAGCAGACAAGTGCTGGGAAAATCTGACGTTCAAGGTATCCTACAAGCATTTTCACCATTCCAGTTACCCAAGATTCCTTGGCACTTAATCCCACTAGTCTTGCTTGATCAATCAAAGGCTGCAGTACATCATCCACCCCATCCATGAAATCCTTTGTTATCTTGTAAACAAGGGTAAAAATGAACTCTGGCTGTTCAGACCATTTAGCAAAATGATATTCCATCCTTGAAGCAATAGGGTGAACTAATTCATCGATCGCCCAAAGCCCATTGTCAAAGCAAGCAGTTCTATTGAAGTACTTCAAATCTGCCAGGGCAGGAGTCACTTCTGCTGTTTGACACAGGCGTAATTCACGGTTTCCCTGCACATGTTGGAGAGCACATAGTGCTTGGAAGCTTTGAGAGTATCTCTCTTTATTTTCCTTGTTCATCAAGACTAGAGGATTCGGAATTTGGTTCTCTGTGTCTTGTGAAGACAATGAAGGTGGCCAGCCCAATGATGCTAGTAGAGCCCGATAATCCGTGAGGGCTTGAGGCCTCAAAATGGAAAGAGTTTTGTCCACTCTAGAATCAACAGCCATGACAAGGTTGGTCCACTGTGGCCTACTAGTGCTGATCCGTACTAATTCTCGCTCAATATCCCTCACAGCATCGACAGCATGGAGCAGCTTCCCTTGCTTCCATTTTGTTTCCTACATTTGACAGAGAATAAGGATGTCATCCTTAGTTTGCAAACTAATTGCTGAATGACATTTTATCAGCTGCATCTGCAGCAACAGATGAAGTGAAAGAAAGACAAAGGGTCTCACATTTGATTTTCGAAGTATGGATGATAGGTTGAACTTCGGGGCCTGCCTAACGATGGAAAATGCCACATCTTCCAGGTTGCCAACCAAAGCTTCCAACTGTAGAGTAGCTTCTGGAATGTCAGCATAGCAAAGTTACAGAAAGCACCATACATTCCTACACCATACAGAGCTAGAGGTCTCAAAGAAGATATAGTAACAAACAATAGCAGCCAACAGAACTCATCTCGTGGCAAATAGCAAAGGTGAGCAGATTTTGATGCGGAGGGGAAATGAAATCAAAATTGAACTATGAATTGGTACAGCAAGTTTGAAACTGCGCAGAAGACATTTATTATTCAGATAATGTCAATGGACTCGGTTACAAACTTATGATATACTTGTTTATGTGGCCCGAACCTTCATGGGCAGGGTATCGTAGTTCATAGACTGGTACTGAAACCAACACAGAAGCTTCTACATTCAACGCAATCATGAGGACTACATTTCCCAGCGCTGTAGAAGGTCAGTGATATGGATATTTTCAGCGCTGACAAACCACTGACACAAAAAAGGAACACCAGACTATACTGTTGCAGAAAATAAATCACGTATTAAGTTACCAAAAGCTACATCGCGCAGCAACAATGTAACTATAACGCAGGCTCCAGAACACACTCATATGGCGTAGCTCCGTAACCATCTCCAGAACACACTCATATGGCCTAGCTCCGTAACCATCAGTTAGCAAACCAATTTCGTGTGTAATCTACGACCAGTCACATTGTATTTGCACATGCCACCATGTAAACGTCCACATCAATAGGAGGAAGAGATGCTGACCCGCGTAGAGCCGGATGGTGTCGATCCGTTGGATCTCCCGCACGAGCGCCGGCAGCCCCACCGTCCTCGCCGCCTCGGCGCCCTCGTCCTCCGCGCCGACGCGCACCCCTAGGAAACAAAGAGGAACCCGAGCCGGATCAGCAGTGGAGTCTGGAGTGTGGAGGGGACGGGCAGCCTCAGCGCCCCCGCGGCACCTGGACTAAAACCCCAACCAGCAGCTAGGGTTCACTACTGTTGACGGGAGCGAATGCGCGAACGAACCTCGTGACCGGACGCGGCGGAGGTCGGCGCGGGCCTCGGCGGAGCGCGCGAGCCAGGACGCGGCCGCGGCAGCGAGGCGCGCCTCGGCGCGGCGGAGCGAGGCGTCGAGCCCGGCGCACTCGCGGCGCAGGAGCTCCGCGAGCGCCGGCGCGGCCGCGAGGTCGTCGGGGGAGGCGAAGTGCGCGTCCAGGAAGCCCCGCACGCTCGCCGGCGGCGGCCGTAACGGCCGCGGGGGCGACGGCATGGGAGAGTTGGGTTGGGAGGAGAGAGAGAGAGAGAGAGAGAGACGGAGGGGGAAGCCAACCAGCCAGGTGAGTGCGTGCCCGTTGGGGAGGAGGTGTGGCTTGCCTGGCCTTCGCCGTCCGCGTGGGTGGGAGTGGCCTTCCTGAGTACTGTCTGTCTGTCGCATGGGACCCGTCGGCGCGGGGCCGATCTGAGCTTCTTCTTAAAAAAAAAGAAATTTCCATTTTCTGTGGTGAGGGGAATCGGGAATGGGACCCGTCCGTTCGAGACCAAACTGAGAAAGCAGGAGGTGGTGCATCATGCATGCAAATGCAGCTGCTGACATGACAAGCACGACTGGGGGTGTGTTCGACTGGTATTAAAACCGGTTGAACCTATTTTACTGTGAGAGAAAAAACTGTACATTCTAGCTGAACTATGTACGGTATGGATGGCTCTTGCTGCCTTCAATTTCTGGCGAGCATCAGAAGACTGTCAGAATACCCTTTTCGAGAGAGAAAAAATGCACAGCTGACTGCTCGGAATGATCCATCTCAGTCATGCGTATGGATGGCTCTGGACCGGAAGGCCTTCCCATGATATGGCTATATAGCCCGTTGGGCCGGAAAGCTCTTCATCAAGGCCCGGTAGAAACAGATTACAACGGGCGGGATGGACTGGACCACGTAGTACTGACTGTACACTGTACACATGTTGACAGATGGAGCAGCTCTCAATCCCCGCCGGCGCCGCCCCACGATCGTTGTCTCCTCCGGCAGAATGCGATTTCTTCTTCGTTTGGGAATCAACGTTATATATTTTGTTCAGAAATTTATTCAAATTTGGAAGGACAAAAAAAAAAAAACTGTGCAAACTATACGAACTTAAGGGTTCTAGGTAGCCGACCTCACCCTAGCTCTCCCACTGTCTCCGCACCCAACGATCGTTTAGCTGCACTCTAATTCACCACAATCTACATAGATCGCAAGAGATTAAGGACTTGTTTGACTACATTTTAATCTGCCTTCATCGATCACTTTCATGACCATGTGCATGTGCATATATATGGGTGAGTCAAGGGTGCTGCCAAATTAAATAAGTCGTAAAGTAGAAAATAGCTTTCATGTCAATCCCTACAAACAATAACCTACGTGGATTGGGCCAGAGAAATCCTTAGCTGTTGTTGGAACTGTATTCAAAATCAGGTAATCTGGAGCTATTACTACGTTTCGACACTGCAGACAGGTGCGTGGATGCATGCATGCTGTACAACAGATGATACGCTATCTATACTAGGCTTGTAGCTTGTTCCTTCTCCTCGATCCATCTTCCTTGTACGCAAGTCGTACTAGCTAGATCAGCAGTCGATCCGCCCATGCATCTACGTTGGTGGCCGCCGGCGGCGGCCGGCAATGCATGCTCATGCTGCCATGCACGCATGAGAGTAATATAAATAAATCCCCCGGTCGACGCCAGCCGCCGCCGCTCTGGTCCGCCGGCTCCCTCGCAGTCACAGCATCTCCGCGCTGTTGGTCTCGTACATGACGTTCCACGAGTCCAGCGTGGGGAAGCACGGCTGCTGCTGCTGGAGCTGGTGCTGGTGCTGACGAAGCGCCGACGCCTCGTCGCCCGCCGGCAGCAGCTGCGGGTTCCCGGCGGCGGCGGCGGCCAGCAGCGCGGCTGCGTCGAGCGTCGCGGTCGCCTGCATCTGGAGCATCATCACCTCCACTCCGGACACGTCATCGCCGGCCGACGACGCGTCCGCCTGCACGCCGGTGATCTGCTGCACCACGAGGCGGAAGTTGGCGGGGTCGGTGCTGATGTAGGTGGTGGGCGCGCGCTTGGACGCCCGCGACCGGCGCTTCCCCGCGCGCGCTCCCGCCGGCGGCGAGGAGCGGCGGCGCGGCGAGTCGGACACCAGCACGGAGTCGCAGCAGGTGGCGGCGACGGCGTGCGGTGGCACCGGAGGCGGAACGTAGTAGGGCGACGGGAGGTCGGCGAGGGCGCTGAGCAGGGGCGAGTGGTGGTGGTGGGAGAGGGAGGAGGCGGAGGAGTCGGGCGACATGGTGGTGGTGGTGGAGAAGTGGAGCGCCCGCGCGATGGCGGCGTCCGTGTAGGAGGTCGCCAGCAGCGCGGCCGGCGGCGGCGTCAGGCAGGAGATGGCGTCCATGTTGGTTGTTAGTGTTTTCTGACGTTTGGATGGACCTTGGTTTGATTGGTGGAGCTGAGCTGAGCTGAAAACGAAAGCCAGTTGCTAGTGTGAGTGCAGTACAGCGACGGGACGGGGGGAGGGAGGGAGGGAATGACGCCGGGGTGTATGTGTATGAGGAGGCGGCGATCGAGTAGAAGTGGAGGGGGGAGGCGAGTGGTGGAGTGGAGCTGACTTTATAGGGGGAGCCGAGGGATGACGATGGGGACGGGGGGAAACCGCGTGGGGGCCGTCGGCGTGCGTGAGGGTGAGGCCCCGCCTCGCGCTTTGGTTGGTTTTGTCTGGGTGTCGGAGGCCACCGCCACCGCGCCGGCGACGGAGCCTAGCGTCAACGACTGCACCGCAGCCTGCTCGGCGCGGCCGCGCACGGCGTCAGGCGGCGTGCGGTGTGTGTGGACTGTGGCGTGGTGTGCCACCCCGCGCGGCGCGCCGCGCAATGGCCAAGCATGTGCATGCCGTGCGACGCTTTTCGGAGGCGAGGCACGCGGGGAGGTTGACTGGCCTGCCAACTGTGGTCGACCCGACCGACCGACGGCAAAGTTGCCATGCACACGCTGTGCGGTCAATTGGCGCAGGTGCAGGTGAATCAAATCCAATCCACTCCAATGCAACCGGCCAGCGGTCGCCGGGAATACCGGGGAGGTGGGCTGGGCGTCGCTCTCGCCGGGGATCTCCTCTGCCGACGACAGATCTCCTGCGCACCTCAATTTGGTAACAAAAGCCCAGGCAGGAATCACATCGCCTCTCCTCCCCACCTCGCTCACTAGATTTGATTTGATGTCTAGCACTCTGCTCACCCACTCTCCTCCCTCTCGGGTGTAGTGCAGTGCAGATGCTGTACTCCATTTGCTACTCTGGAACCGACTCACCATCCATATATACATGTATTTATCGGATTTCTTCTAGAAACTAGAACAATTCCCATTCCGTTCACAATCATCAGAGAATCAGAAACCAGACATCAATCTTTTTCTTTTTTTCTTAATAACATGGCCGATCGGATCCGTGGCCTTTGTTCACCCAGAATCTGGGCGCGGCCGTCGTCATCGTCGCCATCCTCTTCTCTGGTTGCGCTGCGGTGCGCAGGCAACTTTTCACCACGCAGGCCCCGCCCGGGTCTCTCCTCTCCTCTCTCTAGTCTGTTCCCGTCGCTCCCGCCTTCGCCGACGGCGACGGAGGAGGAGATGCTACGTCCACCAGCCTAGCCTTTTCCACCGCCAGTGAATCAATGGGTTACTCTACTTGCTCCAATCAATGCGAGATTTTCCACTTTAACCCAGCGAAAACGACGGCCCAACTATCTGGATTCACTCCTCTCCTTCCCGGGGCCTGGTTACTCTCAATGTCATCGGAGTCTACTACCTTGGCCGTGGTGATTCCATCATGCCTTTTGTATTGTGGGGTCAAAAAAGATGAGGTTAATGCTTTTTTCTTCAAATCAAGAAAAGTTTGGAGTTACAACGACGCACCACGGCAGCGGTGCACTAGGGATGGGGTGTTGTTTTACAATGAGCGCTGGCCTCCCTAGCATAAGACAGGACTAAGACGATTGCTCACGAGTTAAGCTACCTAGCCTAGAGCCCCCGGCATCAATCCACCGGTCGGTCTGCCCCTTGCTTGATGAAGACAAGAATTTGCTGGACAGGGAAGGTTAATGTGAATCCACACCTATCCATCTTGGCAAACGGGGAACCAAACTTTCTATCCTTTACATAGACTACCAGCTTACTCCCTCTGTCTCTAAATAAGGGTTGTTATATGGTATTTGTACCGATCAAACCTTTTTTTTTAAGTTTGACTAGGTTTATGAAAAATATTAGCAACATTTGTTTCTTCAAATAAGTTTATTATGATCTATCTAACAATAATAGTTGTATATTGCAGATATTAATATTTTCTTGTATATATTTAGTCAAAGCGTCCGAATGTGATGGGCGAGGTCAAAGTCATGCATCGCCGACGACGGGAGGTGACGCTGCTCAAACTTAGCCCGTGTTTAGTTCCCCTTTAAATTCCCAAAAAGTGCTACAGTATCCATCATATCGAATCTTACGATACGTGCATGTAGCATTAAATGTAGACGAGAAACAAAACTAATTGCACAGTTTGGTGGGAAATTACGAGACGAACGTTTTGAGCCTAATTAGTTCATAATTGAACACTAATTACCAAATAAAAACGAAAATGCTACGGTAGCCAAATTGCAAACTCGATCCTGCATGTTTCTGATCTTCCACGGCGCCTGCTGCATGTTTCTGAACCCCCCCACACACACAAACACACCGCAAGCAAAACCAGCAGCAGCAACTCGATCCAGTCTGAACTCTCAAGACGCAGACGTGTACAGGTACTACATGTAGAGGACCAGCAACGCGTCTGCAGCAGCAAAGCAAAGCGCCACAGCGTGGCAGCGCACAGGGACAAGCTAGGAGCACATGCATGATGGCCTGATGCCCTGATCATCCTGATGGACGCTTGCTCATCACTCTGCACGACGACACAGGCAAAACAACTGAACAAGTTTGACGCGTTCCGACGTTTGTCAGCGTTGAAAACCCACCAGGCCACCAGCAATTCAGCGTCAGCCAACCACTCCGGTTAGTAGTAGCGGGGTAAGTTTGGCGTAGCTCACGATAGCTTTATGAGCTGTTTTGTCAAACACTTATTTTTAAAATAGTTGTTTCTCCTTCTCTCACAAAGATATAAGTTGGGAGGAAGCTAAAAAAAAAGTAGCTTATTTTAGCTTCATCTTCCATATTATAATCATTCTATTTATTGTTCCACCATGTAAAGCTATTTTACCAAACACTTGTTCCAAAACAATTCAGCCTCAACAAAAAAAAAAACTCATAAAGCTATTTTGTAAAAAAAAATAACTTAGTGAAGCAGAGCTGTACCAAACGGACCTATTATTAAACTACTGGAACCACCACCTAGCAGTGGTCAATACCGACATATATTATACACTAGTACGTACGCCTAGTTGCGTTGGGAGCGTGTATATATATAAATATTATATACTTGCAGTTTCAAGTCCACTGGCCTAGGATTATTGCATCGCATGCATGCATGGTCCTTGGATTAGTTTACGGTAATCGATCCAGAACATCCCATGAAGGCTGAGGCATTCGGCATTCCCTTGTGATTGAGTGCCCTGGAAGACTTTTGCGTGCCATTTTTGCTTGTTGGTCCGTCAACCACTCACTCCATTATATATACTCATCGCTTACCACTAGATGTATAATTCCACTGTCTTAATTGCTGGTCAGATGGATGGATGGGTGTTGGAATTCTTGCATCGCCAATGCCAACAGAGGTCAATGTCAGTGCCAGCTGCAAAGCTGAAGCCTAACGCACTGTTCGTTTGGGCTTGTTTGGCTTATAAGCCATGACTGAAAATACTGCTGGTTGATTCGATGTGAGAGAAAAATACTATTCGTTGGCTGATAAGTCATGGCTTATAAGCCAAACACGACCAAGCGAACAGGCTGCTAGGTTGTTTGACATGATCCCAAAAAGTATTAATCTCTTCAGTCACCTATCATCCAGAATGCAGTAGTAAGGGGGTGTTTGGATCCAATGACTAAAATTTAGGTGGTGTCACATGAGGGTGTCGCATGGGGTGTTCGGATACTAATAAAAAAAATAAATTACAGAATCCGTCAGTACTCCACTAAATGAATTTATTAAGCCTAATTAATCCGTCATTAGCGCATGTTTACTGTAGCACCACATTATCAAATCATGGACTAATTCGGCTTAAAAGATTCGTCTCGCAAATTAATCGTAAACTGTGTAATTAGCAAACTATGTCCAAACATTCGATGGGACATTTACTAAAGTTTAGGAGGAGTAACCAAACACCCGCTAATATTAACCTCATCGAGTGGGTATACCCCCAGAGAATGCATCTTTGACATGGGGAAATGGAGATGGTTAGCAGCCTCCCTCCTAGGTCCTAGCATAGCAATAGCACACAGCGACTGTCTAGTTCTGCTGCTGGCTTCGGCTTGAAACCGTTTCAACGTTGTCCGCTGAAAACTGATCAGCTCTTGACCCTTTCGTAGGGAGCTACAGTAGCTTCAGAAGTGACGAGGCTGTGAGGGCATGATGGCATCAGCCTGTTGTGGTAGCCATCCGCTGTTCATTTATTTATTTTATTATTATTAGGGGAGCTAGAGTCCACATGCATGGCCCATACACATCCCATCCCATTCCCCCATATAAAACTACTACTTCTTCATGTGATACTACGCCTGCTTGACTTGCTAGTTGCTACACCTGCTCCCTGATCCACTAGTTCATTTTCATACTCACCCACTAGTATATACGTATATACTACCATTCTCTGATACTCTCATCTTAAACAAGTTTCAGAATATCCTCCTCATCCTAGCAAGAAGTTGGCTAGCGCTGCACTTCTTCAGAATATATACAAGTATATGTATATATACATTTCTATTTCTATAGGTGGACACAATACAATACTCCTACATACTTAAGTAGTAGTATAAAATAAGTGTACCTACCATTACCGAACCATGCCGCCGGAAATGAAAAGGATGCCGTGGCCCCTGGGACGACGATTAGTAAACAAGTGTTTGAGCTTGGACCATCTCCTTATTACTTGTCTCTTCATTGTTCCCTTTGACATGTAGCATTTGCTGTACCAATTGTTGTAATACTGCATGGATGTACCGGGAACATCCCTATCCTATCTATCTATCTTCATAGTAGGTCAATGCCTTGCGCTGGCGGCTGGCCCATGTCCTCCTCACTGTAGTGCAGTCAGAATATCAGAGAGAGGTCCGGCTACACGGTTTCTGAATTTCAGATTCTGCCCTACAGCCAGAGCTTTACTGTTTTTGTTTTCTGCATGGCATCTGCCCTCCGGTTTAGACCGTTACTCCCAGAGTTTACTCTCTATCCCATCGAATGTTAGGCATATGTATAGAATATTAAATATAGACTTAAAAATAACTAATTGCACAATCTACGACTAATTTGCGAGACGAATCTTTTAAGCCTAACTAGGATACGATTTGACAACGTGGTGCTACCGTACACACATGTGCTAATAACGGATTAATTATGCTTAATAAATTCGCTCCGCGGATTACTGATAGATTCTATAATTTATTTTTTATTAGTATCCGAACACCTTATGCGACACACACCCGATGTGATACCCCTAAACTTTATACCCTAGATTTAAAGGATAACTTCATTCAGATTTCGGACATCATGCTCTCCCATGCATTATAATAGTATTACTGATCGCAGCATTGCACATCGGCTTGGCAGCATCGCCTAGCGATCTGTGCTGAAAAAAGACGAAAGTTTTGAACTCTTCTTTCTTTGGGGTTTGATCCAAACATGCAGAGTTGATGGCTGCCTGTTGCCTGCCGAGGCGAGGCGACAAACAGGCGGCACGAGAAACAAAGGAGGTGGCATCAGCATCATGGTGCGTGCAATGGCTTTTGACTTTGGGGCGCAGAGCTTGAGCTTGTTGCTATCGGCAGGCAGGAATCTGGTTCTGGTTCTGGCGGACCTGCCTGTCCGTTTCCCGGAGGTCAGATCAGATCGATGCGCCCGTTGATTCCGTCCATTTAAAACTGCTAGAACCACAACTGCTTTCTTTGGCCACGTATAGCTTTCCTCCTCTGTCAACTGGTTGAACGTTTCAGCGTCTAGTATGCTCTGTCATTTTGGTTGCCACGGACACCCCCCAAATGTCAACGAGTAGAATTTCTACTCGTACACCTTTGAATTTCTACCTTTTTCCCGTCTAAAACGAAGAATCAGCAGACGACATTTACTACTACTGTTTGTTGACCAACCAAGTCTCAACGCCAACATCCATCACACACACAGAGAGAGAAGAGTCGTACAACCTGATTGCTTATTGGTTTCTGGGTTGTTGTGCTGGTTTGTTGTGAGAGAAAAACACTATTGGCTGGCTGATAAGCTATGATTGAAACCAACAAGCGAACAGACTGGTAGCCTCAACTCGTATATAGCAACACTGCAAGGATTGGGTTGAGGGGGGACAGCCACGGAATCATGTCAAAAAGATTCAAGAGTTGCCACCAAAAAGTCAAACCGGAAGATTGGGACACAGCTTTATTTCCGGTGCATATACAATCATACTTCTCACTGAATCGCTTCTGGAATTTGACTGCAGCGAAGAGCGAACATATATCAGCACAGCTTATTACTCCTACATAAACTATATTTATTTACGTCACCACTTCAGCCCACCTGTCCTCACATCCTGTCTGCTGTCTGCAATTCCTCTTGACACAAATCGGTACTAACATAGCAGTAGTTTGAATTTACACTAGGGCCTCGTTTAGATTGCGAAAAAATTTCAACCTGATGAATAGTACCACTTTCGTCTTATTTGACAAATATTGTCCAATCGTGGACCAACTAGGCTCAAAAGATTCATCTCGTGATTTCCAACTAAACTGTGTAATTAGTTATTTTTTTTACCTACATTTAATACTCCATGCAAGCGGCTAAAAATTGATGTGATGGAGAGAGAGTGAAAAAACTTGGAATTTGGGAGGCATCTAAACAAGGCCTAGGAACATTTACTTAGCCAACTCTATACGGATACTGAAGTACTGTCCAAAGTTCACTTCACTAATAAGAGCTACTTGTATTCATTATTTTCTTATCCAAATCCTCTCCTTTGCGGCCCTGACGTTTTCCTGCAGATCGATATACTTCTCAACTGAGGTTTCTGAGAAGGCTTTGAGCTTCTCTATGAATCTCAACAGACTCGGGTGCAGATCAGTCGGGCCATGACTTGCTCCCCCTGCTTCGTCATTTGGCACCTTCTCTTTGTGAGGAATGGAGCGGCTTATGTCTGCAATGAGACCTTCGATGGCTTCTTCTAAGTCCGTGGTTGGTAAATCATCGAGAAGCTTTATCCACATTTCGTAGGTTGTGAAGATTGGCGCGATAGCAGTCTCCGTTAGCGAAGCATCAACGGCGTTCCGGATCCTGGAAACCTTCCTCCTCATCAGGGGTTTCATGCATTTGTGTAACCACATGTTTAGGCTGCAGAGGTACGCCTTTTGGGATGCCATCCAGTTCTGGAAGTTGGAACATAGTTTTCTCAGCTCAACCGAGAGGAGAAACCCAGCCTGGTGTTGAGATTCTGACTGAAATGATATTTTCAGGCCGCAGCTTCTGGATGCTAACTTGACTATCGCACATTGGCACTGATGGCACTCAAGCATTGTACCCCACATCCTAGTGAAACTGCAGGGAGAAGAGATTCTCTATCAGATGAGCACAGCAATCAGTCAGTATATAAACATATAAATAAATGCACATTGCCTATTGCGATAGTGCACATTCTTTTAAGATAATGTCAAACATACCTTGTTATGACGACTAACACATCTATATGTCATGTTATAATGCACAGGAACAGCATGTTTTTGCATACACCGGTAGACAATGATACAGACAGAGACATACCATCCAATTAGTTCATCCAGCTGTGGTTGAAGATATTTATCCCTTACATCTTGTATTTTCTTAGAAATGAAGCCTATTTTGTGAACAGCCACTAGAACTCTGGAATGCAAGTCCTTCACAGAAGCACGGGTAAAATCAATATCAATTTGATTTCCCCCTCTTGATTCCTGGTGTCTCAGTTTCTTGCATCTCTCATCATACCTCCTGCAGATTGCGCTGCTAGCCTGAAAGCAGAACAAGACAGATTACTTCTAGGAATCTCAAACTCTGATTCTGGAACACATATAAAATTGATTAATACTGTACAACATCCAGAAAGGAGCTGCTACCTTAACTTCTTCATAAAGTTAGCATACAACCTATCAAGTGTGGAGATATGGCTGCCAGCATTAATCCCAAGAGAATTTCTAGATGGTGACAATTGTGAAGACACTGATCTATGCCAGGTAAGGTACTTTATCTCGGCTGGAGGAGGCGCTGCATTAAACCATGGTGCATCACATTATTTGTACAGTTGGAAGGCCAAGTATTCTATTCAATAGTAGAAACCAAAATGCTAATAGCTGTAATAAATGTAGAATAATATCACATTACAATTACTCCCTAAAAGAAACCTTTTGCATTTATATTTGTAACACAGGAATAGCAAAAGCCTTCGTTGAAGGGGGGGGGGAGTCAAACTAATAGTTTCAGGCAAAATTAACTTACATTCAGGAACAGTGACATCCTCTCTGCAGCAGGGAAACAGTGTTGCCAGAAAACTTCTTGTTGGCTTTGATCCATGTGCTGCAGAAATTTACTTTTTAGTTTAATATTAATTCTATCACAGAGGGTAAGAGAAACTTGGAAAATGGTATAACCAGAAAGCTATTCACTTGATAGCTAACCTATTTCTTCAGGTAGTAGAGGGCGGAACTGGATTTTATCTTCCTCAAGAATTCTTGGGACTTCTTTTCCAGAATTGCATGCCCAAAAGAATAATATCTCAATCTCTTTCATGCATGTATTTAAATCTTTTACCACGTTACCTAAGTTAGTGGAAGGTTTCTTCGACATCCCAATCACTGTCCTCTTATTTTTGGAGTTGTCACTACAAGAATTAGTACTTTGTGAAGCAATATTTTCTGAAGCGTGTTGTGCAGGTGAGTGAGTATTATCAACAAGCACATCATTCCAGTTCTTGAACACGGGCACCCTAGTTTCAGTGGATGGATTGTCAAAGTTATCTTCTAGCTCTGCAAAATCATCATCTCCCTCGCTGTGCTCAGAGATCCCTTCCTCTCGGAGGCTCCTTAAACCATCAGCATTTTCAAAATTCTGACTGACCTCTCTAGCAGCAGGGAATGAAGATTGAGCGGTTACTTTTGCAGGTGCTGTCATGGAGTTCCTCCCAGCACTCATATGATTGACAGGCAAAAGAGGTGGCGAAACATTTGGGATTGACTCTTTCAGCACTTCAGGTTCAAAACATTTCCTCAGAAGAGAAGCGGTTTCTCTCAGCGACAGAATATAAGCGCGGTGAGAAGCTGCAAATGCACATCTTCCATCTAACGCTTCTCTAACAAAATGCTTCCTCTCCTGGCATAGCACAAGGACCTTGTCATCTTCAAACTTAGAAGGTGCCACCCCCATTTTTGAAGAGCAACAGCACTTAGAGCTTCACGAACAATACTTGGACATGCCAATTTGAGGCCATCAACGAACGATTTGCAAGTGATAGTGTCTGTGTGATGTGACTTTCTGTCTCTGATGCTGCAAGACTGAAATAGTTTGGAATCTTCCCAGTTAGACCATATACTAAATTTATAACGATCTGGTTTTCTTCTTAATAAGATAAGAAGAAACAAAAAAGCATTCACCCCAAGCCGATCACTTCACCTTAACCAATCCTTTCCATTTTACTATAGTTGCATCCAGTAACTACTTTCCATAATTTTTACAGCAAAGGCACAAAACCGGAAGCCATCTTTCCATAAAAGAATATCATACATAAAGTTAGCTGTCCACATTTAAGTTGTAGTATAGCAAACTGTCCGATTGAAAATGGGCATAGTCGGTGGTGAAAAAAGGTTTCCTTTAAGAAATTTGTTTTGTTTTGTCAAGGTTCGATAGATGTAATACAACCAAAAAAAACTTGCATCATTTAACATCCTCTATGTGCATGATAACATGGCTATAGCAATAGCCTATAGGTGCCTAGGGTAGTTGATGGAATTCTGTACCAAATCAGCCCAAAAACGACACTATTGCCAGTTCTATTGAAAAGAAAAGCAGATCATTTACATAATTACATTGCCGGGTACCAAATTCGACCAAGCTTACTCTCCACGAGGTGTAGACCTGTAGTTGTCGTTTGCGTGGAGAGAAGATGCACATCACATCACTCATGATCAAATCGACGGCCAGACGGCCAGTAGTGTAAGTACACGCAGTTCACCCAAAACAAAATTTCGGAGATAAATTAAAAATCACCTTGTTTCGACAGCGACTTGGACTCTTGGAGCGGGAAGGGCGCCAAATCCCCACGGGCGCACGGGGCCGTGCCGTCGTCTCCGTTCCCGATCGACTGCTCACCGACGCCGCCGCCCCTGTGAGAGGCGAAAGGACGCGCCGCTCGGCTCGCACAGGCAAAGCAGGGGACGCGGAAGTGGAAAGGTGGCACCACCGCCACGCGAGGAGTGCGAGGGCAGGGAAGGCGCCACGCCATTGCCGTGGGCTACGGAGAGAGCAAAGCGCCGACGGCGACCCGTCCGCGTCCCTCTCCATGAAATCAATCGGCCATGGCGCAGTAAAGTGCAGACGTCAGACGTGGCTGTGCGTGGCACGGGGGCCTATCCTCCCGGTGGGCCCCGCCGTCGGAGTGACGTGATGTAGAGGCAGATCGCATTTGAGAGGCCCATTCGAGTGGAAACGGCTCGGCCCATTGGAAAAGACGAGGACCAAGGGCCCGCCTGAACCCGCTCCCCACGGGCCCACCAACCCCGCTTTCGCCGCTCCCATTTCAAAATGGACCTCTCGTTCTCTTTCCCGTGTTGCGCATGCGCTCCGCTGGTGGTGACCATTTCCTTTCCTTTCCTTTCCTTTCCTTAACAAACCAAACCAGCAGAGGGGCAGCTGTTAATCGCAATTAGTGCGCGCTAATCAAATGCTCCTCTGCCCTCCCGACCGTTGCTACCCCATCAACCATATCCCACACCGCCCTGCCGCGGCCGCCGGCTCCACTCCACTCTACTCGATTCGCCTCGCCTGAGATTCTTGCAGGTTTGCCCCCACCCCTCCTCCTCCTCCTCCTCTACTCGATCCGTCAATCCAATCACCGCTGGGGTTTAGTTTCGGTACGAGTTGCTGCGGAGTGGTTCGAAATCCCCCGTCGGGTTTTGGGCGATCGATGCGCTGGGGCGTGCAGGATCGGAAGGGCGTCCGTGGGTCGGCGGTGGCTCCGGGATCGAGGATCGACGGGGAGTGGTTTTGCGAAGCGAATTTCCGTTGGGGCTCCTGGTTATAGATTGAGAGGGGTTGGGTCTTTGGGCGGTTCGGTGCCCCTGGGATCGAGGATCCAAGTATCGTTGCCTTTTCTGGTGTCCTGTGGCCTTGCGTGTAGCCTGTTTGACTTATTTCCTATTAGATAGACCTACTGAGAAGTAGACATACGCGCTTCGGTTGGGAGTTCAATTCCTTGCCAAGGATACGGGGAACTATGCCCCTGTTAATATTTTTTGTTTACTTTTCGGAACAAAGGATTTGTTGTCTTGCCTTGTTATTCAGCTATGCAAATTACGATCTAATGTGTCTCATGGTTAGTTCTCTTTGCTGACTACAATATGCAACCCATGCAGGGACTAGTTTGTGGGGGAATCCCGAATCCAGGAACCTGTGAATCCTCGACACTTCTGAAACATGAGAAGATTCTTTTTCTTTGGGTCCCCTGCTGCAAACCCTGGTGAGGGAAATGAGCAACCGATCAGTGATAATAGGACTAGTAGACATAAAAATACAGATGAGGGAAAGGACAGTTCCGGTTCCTGCAGCACAAGATTCTCGAGATCCAGAAGCCGTCGTCAGAAGCGGAGCAAGGAGGAACCAGCCAATCCCAAGCAACTCAGGAGGTCCATGTCGTTCTCATCCCCGGCCAGAAACAGTTGTGTGGATGAACGGTGCTTTAGCTTCTCGGGTGATGTTCCATGCTCTTTGTATGATGAATCTGATGCACCCCACCATGCCAAAGATGCCGTGTAAGTGGTCATCCTACCTGATAATTACTGTCCGTACTACTTACAATACAAGATGTTTACCTTTGATTGAAATGATAGTAGAGTATTGGCTATTAGACCCTGTTGCCTATTTGCCATTTGATTCATGTTAAAAAAAAATCTAGAGAAAAGAGAAATGTGTCTAAAAATAAAGGGCAGACCCAGCGCTGAAGGCTCCCACATGAGTGGGGTCTGGGGAAGGGAAAAACCGAGGCAAGCCTTCCCTCCGCAAAATCTGCGGAGAGGCTGCTTCGAACCCGCGACCTGGTGACTCAGTGAGACAACTCTCAGCAAATACACCGTGATATGTGAATCTGCAAACTCTACTCGTTTTAGCTATTATTCTGAATGCTTATTTATCTTTTTCTGCAAAGGAGGCCGTCTTTATGATTGTTCAGTTTCAGTGCACATGCAGACTTTCTCTGGCATCTATGAATGATCTATACTGGGTTTGATTGCATACAAGTTATGTTCTTCCATTTTTCACTCAAATATATACTCTTGTGATTGAGTTCGAAGGTGGTTCAAGTAGGTTCCATGGTGTCCTGTGACACCAATGTTTATAGAAAATAGATGCTTTATATTTTTCGTTAGATAGATGACACCATGATGCAATGGAGATTACACAAGTAGTTCTTCAGTTTGGATCCACCCTTGTTTAGTTCCTCTTTACTACTAGTGTTTCTGTGGCCAGACTCTTTTTTTTTTTTGGTTTTAAGTCCATATGTATGGTAGCTAATTTTTTCAGCATGTCATCTGAAAAATGATTTTAACAGTATATCTTAACTTGCAGTCCCGATATGTGGTCGCCAGAAGGGAATCCGTTCTTGAGAGAATATGCAATAAAGACCCCAAAACCTCATTCTGCCATGGAAAATGATTCTCCTCGTTCAAAATGCTGTTCATGCTCAGCAGGGCACTCTCCTGTTAGCTCTCCTATTGCTATACAATGCAGATCAACAAGACTTAGCAATTTATTAAACAATAATGAAGTACTAGATCGGTACATTGATAGAGGGCACGAAGATGCAATGGTAAATGAGAAACAGAAGCAGGGCGCCCCTGTCACATCTATGGTTTCTAATTTGGGAAGGCCACCTCGACCCCAGACTACAGTACCATCCATTCCAAAATCAATGAAAGAGACAACAGAGAGCTACCCAGATGTGGACTTAAAAGACGGCTTCCTTTGGCGACTTGCTCAAGAGGGCACAGGAGATACCCACAAGATGGCAACTATGTGCAGTGCATTTAGACGCCACATAAGCATGTCAGAAGCTTCTGAAAGAGAAAGTTCAACATCTGTTGAAGATATTTATGAAGATTTGCAAGATGTGAGACTTCCAAATGTTGTCTGCCCCTCCACTTGTCCTACTTTAGGTATGACTTCACGTTGCTCCTATCATTGTAGGGTCATGCTTTTGTGATGCTTCTCAATATTTTTATGATGATTTTTTTTTTTTGGCATCAGCGGAAGACGAAACCGATGACATGCTGCTTCAAAGAGCTAAAGAAGTTGAGTCAAGGTTTATTATTCCTTGTGGAGATGAATATGAATTCAGCATGCTCAGGGATAAACCATTGACCTCAAATGACATGTTTCAGTTAATCCAACAACTGACTGAAGATAGGAAACAATTAGCACATGAATTGTCTTCAGAGATCAAGGCACGTGTTACAGAAAGGTTTGCTGCCAAAGAGCAATACAAACAAACAAATAAAGAATTGGAAACCAGAACTAGGAGGCTGGAGAAGGAGAAGAGTGAAGTACAAACCACACTGGAGAGAGAGATGGACAGAAGGTCAGACGATTGGTCTATCAGGCTATCAAGATTTCAATCTGAAGAAGAGAGACTACATGAACGGGTGAGAGAACTTGCAGAGCAGAATGTGTCATTTCAGAGAGAAGTTACTTTTCTTGAAGCAAATAAGGCTGAAGCGTCAATGAAAGTTGCAAGTTTGGAAACGCAAAACAGCAAACTAAATGACGATCTAGAGAAACTCAGAAATGAGCATGAGAAACTCCATAGTTCCTCGGTAGATTTGCAGGCTCGTTTTGCTGAGGTTGTAGAGGAAAGGGACCACATCCGGGAATATTTGAAGGCCAAGGAGGTAGAGAATAAAGCATTGCACAAAGTGATTGCAAGACTACAAACAGCATGTAATGAGCAGGAAAGGACAATTACAGGCCTGAGACAAGGATGCATAGATGAATTAGATAGGAAATTTGTTGAGTGCACCTCCAGTGATAAAACAAGGAAACTGCAAATGGAACTTATTAGACTGACAGGGGTGGAGCAAAAGTTGAGAGGTGAAATTCGATCTTGTGATCTTGAAGTAGAATCCCTCAGACAAGAGAATATTGCACTCTTAAATCGTTTACAAGGTGCTGGAAATGGAGCAAGCTTCTCCTCGATTCGCCTTGACCAGGAGCTTCAGGCTAGAGTGGATAACCTGCAAATGCAAGGCTTGTCACTGCTTGATAAGATTAGCCAACTTTGTGCTAAATTGCTGGATCTGATGAAACACAAGAGACATGAAAATGAATATTTGATTGGCAATGATGCATTAACATTCAGTGATTACACTTTTGAGTACCAGAGCATCAAAGGAGGAATCGAAGGTCTGAAGCGAAGTTTGAAGGCAATCAATTCTATACTAAGTGAAAAGCAAAATGCTAAAGAAAAATCTGGTGAAATTGCAGCTGAAGGTAGTCCTTCCAAAGATGAAACGGTGAGTTACTTCTGGTACAAAACAACCTTTGTCATTTGAAGTTTACTTTGCCATGTGGTTGTCCAGTTAAAAAATGTTCACAGTAAAGATTCTCTAGAAGTATGTTTTTGGATAGTTACATGTGCTTGGGAATGTGTTTTCATGAAAGTTCTAGGGTAAGAGTTTACATCTGATGCTTTGTGAATATAGTCGAATTAATAGTGACTTGACTATTATGAAAAGAAATGTTTCAAGAAGTTTGGGTCCTTGAGCATATATTTATCATCACCAAATAACTTCCATTCTTATGTAGGATGATTTTGGACTCAAGCTGAAAGAAGAGGCTATGCTGAACCGAGTACTGAAGGAGGCAGTCTTGTCAAAGGAACTTGACATTGAACAATTGCAATCTGATCTGGCATCTTCACTTCGCATCCAAGATGTTATGAGAAACGAGATCCAGAGAGTTCAGGATGAACTTTCTTGCATAACCCACAAAGCTAAGCAGTTGGAGCTTCAGGTATCATGAGTTCATTGCATAATTCACATCTTTATTCCCCAATAAACCTGCAGTTCATTGTTTTTCTCTGATCAAAGTAGATTTTGATAATGATTTCCCTTTCATAATGAATTACTCTTAACCTGTCTGGTGTTAGCCAATTATAGTGGTCAAGTTGCAGTATGTCTCAAAGTACTTATAAGTAGGTAGGTCTTTTTGCTGAGTGACTTGGTTACCGACAACAAATGTCACTCCCATCTCCTTGATCTATAAAATTATTAGAAATTCATTTTAGTGTTTGAATCAAGTTATTTGCTGCTTGTTTATCTTTAGCTAGTCATTATTTTTCAAGTTTTTGCATCTTGCCAAAAAAAAAAAAACTCGACCTGCAGGGGGTAAGACCACCCCCGGGCATCGTTGTGATAGAAGAAGACCTTCTCACACAGGCCGAGAAAACCTCCGAACCCCTGCCCCACCCTGACACAGGGGCACCGTGGCCCTGTAAGAACCGGGCCGGGCCTTTTGACCATTGCTTTGGCCATGGGACAGACAAGGGGATTTTTTTAACCACAGCCTGAAATTCGCTCCCACGGGAGTCGAACCCAGGACCTGTGGAGTGCCACTGAGGAGCTCTAACCAGATGGACTAGAGGCTTGTTGGCTGCATCTTGCCAATAATCTAGGATAAAATTTGCCCAAGTAGACATTAGGTCTACTATGCAAGCTTTCAGTTAGATATTCTTTTGAATGTTTCTGGAACCAGTTCTAAAGTTGAGATAATGTGAGGTAGCATATAAAATAACATATTGTTGTTGTAGAGGCTTACGGTCAGCAAACATTCATTCCAGGGGTCATCTTGGTGGTCATATAAAAAAATACCAAGAGAAAACGACATAAAAAGTGTTACACTGTCATGTTTTTGTACACGAAGTAGGGCATACAACTTCACCAGAAGTCCAGAATATACCATGTGCAAATCCATTTGCTTTTAGAGACATCAGTGGTCTGTCAATCAATACTGTGTTGTTTTAAAGACCAATCAATAGTGCTGTGATTGTTATGGTACCAGCCGAAATGGCATGCTTCTTCAGACTGGTGGTATAGTAACTTGTCCGTTGGTAAATGCTGTTTCATATCAGAATGGCAGATGATGTTTATATATGCTAGAAAATAGCTTTGTTTGTGGTATTTGACTCAAGTACTCCTGCTGTGTTGTTACATATTTGTTGGTTTGCTGTACTTAACAGGTATCGAAGAAGGATGAGTCAATCAATGAAATCCAACAGGATTTCCAGGAATCTGCAAAGGAGCTGGCTGCTCTCCGTGGAACACTGAAAACAGTGACTGAGGAGAGGGACCTGTCGTGGCAGGAAGCAAAGCAGCTGAGAAGAAACATCAGCATAATGCAGAACGAGGTTGTGTCGCTGAAGAAGAAGATCGAAGCCCTGGACGAAGACATACTTGTCAAGGAGGGGCAGATCACGATATTGCAGGACAGCATCGACAAGCCGTTCGACATCATCTGCAGCCCAAGGTCGATGAGGGAGTTCGACATGGCCTGAAGACGGCTGCTGTGTCACAGATGAAGTTCGTGTTATAACTGAGACTTTTAGATACGACGTGCGTTTTTTTTCCCCAAAGACAGAGAGATGCTTGTGAATAGTGGCCGTTCATATGCTTCCTACAGTTTCTTCATCCAGTACACCATAGTGGCTTGTTTTGCAACTCACTGCCCGGTTTACGCCATTTGTAAACATGCATAAATTTGGATGTGCTAAAGAGTAGCTGTTCCCTGTTACTATGTGGCTATAAGATTGTGTCTTATGTTTCTCCATTTCTCCCTGCTCACTTTGCCAGTGAGTCGGTGGATGAAAATTCAAGTTGTTGCACAAGGCAAACACATTTCTTGGCTTGTTATTACAGCTTGCTCTGATGTTCTGAACCATGACGGATTCAGCAGGCACCATTTTTCTCAATCTCCTCCATGACTGATGTCACTTTTTCTGGCTTTGGGAATTGGGAGCATTAAGCATATGGATGAAGGAATTTTCGCATCAACGGCTGGAAGATTAAGATGCATATATGTATTGGAAGTTGCCAATAGATCCACTACGTGTTACGAACGACACATTGTATTCTGTTTCTGTCTGGTGTGACAGCATAAGCTAAGCTTTTTTCCCCCGGCCTGTTCCATCTCTTTGATTTATTTCTAGACAAGGACACCGCTGAATGCGTCACGTCTGGTCTCTGTAGACCTTCACTGTTATCGTATTTATTGCTTTGATTTTATTTTATTTATATACAAGGAGGTATGTATATCTGGCAGAGCTAGCATTAGCTACAGAAGATGCCCGCATCTCCGAGCGTCTTATTGGACGAGTAGATTAGCATGTAAGGGTAGCTTTTCCCCAATGCAAGATCAAGGCTTTTATATAGTTATTATTGTATTGTTCTCTTTCCTTGAGAGCCCATTGGGTACGGGTTGTACACGCCCTCAGTAACCGGCTGCTTACATTAATATGAGCTGTCCATTTCAGATGCAAGTTGGAATTAACGAACCTAATTAACTTTTCAGTGACTTTGAGAGGCTGTTTTTTTTTTCTCTGGAGATTCTGGAGTGCCAACTACAACCCTGTTTAGTTTTTCTTCTTCAGTTACTGGGTCAGTGCAAATAAACAGTGCTAGTGATAACTGTGGCATCCTTTTTTTCTCTGAAAAGCATTCAACCGCATAAATAATCACGTGGACCGATCGGAGTTTTCCTGCAATTACGCATGTCTTGTGTCATGAATCATGTCGTTGTCCTGGAGGCGAAGCTAGCCATGCATTTATATAGCCTAGTTGCATGCATCCCAAAGTCAAACTAAGCCTAGTTGGGCACAGGACAGGCACACGTAGTGCAGCTGCAAATTCAGCCGTGTCGTCTGCGTCCACCGCTAACCTGATGTGCATTTAGATATATTTATATATATATATATATAATAGTTTATTAATATAACCCATATAGTAATTGGGATAGACTAGACGCACGGCTGGGTCAAAAATTTATTGTACGTCTCTTTTCATTTTTGTGACGTGGAAGGATGGGGATGGATGCCCAGAATATATCTACACTTTTTGTACCGTTGGATGTTTTTTTTGAAAAAAGTTCTTATTAATTACATCCATGAGTTTTGATCCAAGTTTGCCTTAGTTTTCAATTTTTAGCTGGTGGATTGTACCTGTCATGTCCGTGGAAAATCAAATAGTGATGAATTACCAACTCCAAAGTGGTAATCCAAGTTGACTGACAATGATAGCCTGCATAAGGAGAGAAGAGGATGCCTATATAAGAACACGACTTTTCTCGTTGGGTCATTAGGCCTCCCTTAAATAGGCCAACCAAGTGTACTGTATGGTTCCTTTCGAAAAAAAGTGGACTGTATAGTAAGCTAAAATAATGATATATGGAGGTCAGGACAGGATAATCTTTAATATGTTTTGTTTTTTAAGTAGACTTCCTCCGGCCCAAAAGAAATCAACTCATACCTATAAAATTGTGCTAAGTGAAAATATGTTAAATTTGACTAAATTTGTAAAAAAAATGATATAAATATTTATGATACCAAATTAGCAGCATTAGTATATATATACTATATATATTTTTATAGTGCACTTATTTGGTTCATATATAGATATTAGTACAATTCTCGATGCTAGTGCTAGAAAAAAATGTCTATTTCTGGCGAAATGCTATAGTTATTAAAGTTTGCTCGATCGTCACAATAAATATGTGTGAAGGCAAGGGGATAAGCATGGGAGCAGTTGAAAATGAACAAGAGTCGATCTGATCCGCTCCTCATTTCAGGCTAATTAATGGAATTGGCTCAAATTCACATATTCTAGCAGTTTTTCGTACTTGTTCCAAACCAAAAGCTATGTCCTCTCCATACAACTCGCAAGGACCAAGCAAGCAGTTGCCCACACAGCTACCCTGCCAAGCGAGGTTAACGCTCGTTATCCTGACTTGTTCTCTCCGCTGAAGAGTATATACAAATACAATACAATAACGATGGATTTGGTCATTTAAATCCACGGTTTAATAACGGTCCGTGTTAACTAACATAGCAGCAAATCAATTGCTAGAACATTTGGATCGGAAACCCCAAGCACAGCGTTTCCCTTTCCTACTTTTTTTTTTGGAAGGCTAGGGTGTTTGGTTCCACGGACACCCATGCAGCATATGCATCGACGATCGTCCGTTGATTTTGCAGAGAATGCTTTGATTCCATTGACTGACACATGCGATTACACCTTAAACAAAGATATCGGTTGGAGTATATATCGTGACAAAATTGTCGGCAGTGTGTGCACAGCACAGCGCTGGAATTTAATTAAGGGCGTGTTTTAATTGGTGGCTCTTATAAATTTTATTAGTATGTTCTCTTTTTTTTCAAAGTTGAGTCGTTGGATGATTGGATCGGATGAGAATTATTTATTTTGCTGTCGCGAAACTATTTATTATATTTATTTCAGCTTTATTTGTTTTCCGTTGCGGCCTGTTTACGCACAACAGAAAAAAAAAGGCACTTGAATTTGCAAACTACCGCAAGTATGCATGTCCTGCAGAGGCTTTTTATTATTTATTTATTAGGCCATTTTAGCTAAGCGATCGACTTTGCTTTCAGCTTTAATTCTTTGCCTCTGACCGAGAACAGGAAAACGTAACGAATTCAAAGATCTCTTGAGAAAGAAAGGTCACTTTGAAAATTACACCCTCTATTTGGGAGCATATGAAATAATAAAAAATAATATGAATTATTAAAAAGTCTTGCTTCGTTGAGAAGACAGAATTTTTATGTTTGACAGTATCATAGTTATCTCAAAAGATTTTTACAAAAAATATATTCATAATTAATCTAGTACTAATACCTATACTACATCTTAAATTGTATTGTTTTTGTATATATTTAATTAATTTTGTGATTGATCGGCTTGTCGAAAAGCAAGATTTTGTTTATATATTTTTGGAAGGAGCGAGTAGCTAGCAGCAGCCACAGGAGTATATTATATATAATGTGTTTGCTAGCTGGGCGGTGGCCCTTGCTTCCATATCGTCGACCAGGTAGCAGACGAGATGGCGAGCCTGCGAGCAGCCCTGCTGCTCCTCCCGCCGCTCTCCGTCGTGGTGGCCATGGCGGCGCTGTGTCTGTGCCGCGTGATGGCGCGCAAGCTGAGCGCGCTGGCGCGCTCCCAGTTCGCGTGCCTCCCGTCCGGCGGGCCGTCGTTCCGGTACCTGGTCTCCTCGCCGTCGGTGGAGGACATCAAGGGCGGAGGCGGCCAGCTGCCGGTGGGGCTTTATTCCCGGAGGACGACGCGCCGGCGCGGCCCCGGTGGCAGCTACGTCGGCGAGGAAAGCGAGGAGGAGGAGTGCATGTTCTGCCTGAGCGGCATCGAGGAAGGGTCGGAGGTGAGGGAGCTCCGGTGCCGGCACCTCTTCCACCGCGCCTGCCTGGACCGCTGGGTCCGGGCGCGGCCGGTGGGGGCGACGTGCCCGCTGTGCCGCGGGCGGCTCCTGGCGTCGCCGCCGTGGGAAGTGGCAGGGTACTACGACGACGACTTCGAGGAGGAGGGCGATGAGGAGGCGGTGGAGGAGGACTCGGACATGATGCTGTTGATGGCGTGCGTGCGCAGCAGCAGCAGCTGGCTGTGGCCGTCGTGATGACTCGTGACCGTGCCTAGCTCGATATGATGGGCGGATCGGACGTCGGCTCGTCATGGACTGCACGTATGTAGTGTAGGAACGTACAGTTACGCAAGTTGTTGGTGGTGCGTTCTAGAGAATGAAACTTGCTTCTCCTCCGATCGACGATCCTGCTTGTGTTTCTTTCTTTTCTTTTTCCTTTGGCCGATCGATGTGTAGTTGTGTATGTATGTATGTACAGTGTTGGCGGCAGTAGTGGTACGGGAGAGAGGAAGCACGTACATACACAGCATGGAGCATCGATCACGCATGCACTTTGTATGTTGGTATGGACTGATCGATATCTGATGTACATGTACATACATCTGCATCATGCTGCAGCACGGCGAAGAAGGAGAGGCGCTTGCATGCATCATGCTGCGGCGACGGCGAGACGACGACACGTACGTCTGCGGCGCGTGCACGTTGGGGTCGTCTGCTCCGACGTGCGTCGAGGGAGGCCATGCGGCCATGCCAGCCTGATGCCTGGCTGCTCTGCCTCCTCCGTCCTCGATCCCCTTCCCCCGGCATGTTTGGAACGCAGCAATTTCACTGGGCTCCGGGCCCGGGCCGGGGGCACTTCGCTTCCACCACACACGCACACGCACAGCAAACCAGTCCAGTCGTCCGCGCATGTACACGTAGGAGTCCTCCACACTTATTAGCGTGGTGGAACAGAGAACAGGAACAGAACAAGAGTCGGCCACGCCGCAGCCGCACGCCGGTGATAGGAGTTCCACCTGAAGATGACTACAAAATTAACTGCGATGGGGCTTTTATCCCTGGATCAAATAAAGCTGGGTGAGGTTTTATTATTAGAAATCATGCTGGCGGTCGTCCTGTTCGCTTGACTTATAAGCCGTACTTTTCCAGTCAACAAACAGTATTTTTCTCTCACAGCAAATCAGCCAACAATACTTTCAGCCATGGCTTATCAGCCAAGCGAACAGGGCGCATGGTTGTAGCAGCAGGAGCAGGATCAGCAAATTTTCTAATGTCAGCTCAACATGCTGAAGCAACTGCTTGTTTAAAAGGCCTGGAGCATGCAGCTCTACTGGGAATGAGGCGAGTTATTTTAGAGATTGATGCGGCTGCTATTGTTAAGGAATCAAATGACAATTGCTTCGAAAGATCTGTGTAGCAGATATTCTGGCGGCTATAGGCTTGAATTGTACTGATGGTCCTCTGTTGTGGCAAGACCATGTACCAGCTTATTTGGTGTCCGGCCCACGCTAATGGAACTATGTTTTCCATCTCAAAAAAAATATTTGCATTGCATTTGCATGCATGCCAACTCCCCGTCCCCGTGATTCTGAATTGAACGCCGGCCGGCTGCTTCCTCTCCCGCTGCGGCTGCCGACGGCTTTGGCATTGGCAGTCCATGGATGGGCCTGCGCTGTTCCAGTTCCACAGGGCACCCGAAAGGCTGAGCCGACCCCTCGTTTGGGCCTCAGTCCCCCAACCCCAACCACACATGGACTAGTAGGCCTTCTATGTTACGTTACCTGGGCTGGGGGCTGCCTTTCCTTAATTCCTGGCTTTCTTTTTTTTAGGAGACATGTCCGGCTCTTGGCAGCAATGGAATATATAGTCACGTTTCTTATGCCGGGAACCTCCATGTTTCCGATTCGGCCATATTTACGTTTTTACATTATACAAAATATCTCCTCAAGTTGTTTCCGTTCTAAGTTCTTGTTCCCGGAAGGGAACATGGTTGCTAAGTTCTAGCTTTACCACCAGTAATGAGCTCATGGGCTGACAGACCTAAGTTCAACTAATGAGCTTATGGATTGACTGATGTTCTTGCAAGTCGATCGACATATCCTCTAATGACCTCATCGGCTAGCAAGCCTATGTTACTCCTAGTCAGTTCTACTTCTTCGACACCATTAAAGGCATCTTCTTGCTCCGGTCCTCTACGTCTCTCTCCGTTTTTTTTCTTATGATTAGTGGTAAGTTTAGGGGTGAGGAGGGGGTCAAGCCTCCATTCTCCCAGCCTTTGGCCTTCCACCAATCATGTGTCGCCTGCTCATATGGCCACCCTATCGCCCGCTTTCACTCCTCGCCCCAAGAATGCCCGCGCCACACAACTGACGCCATCCGCCAGAGACTCTACCACCCACACAAGATCTAGTGACTCGAGTTCCTGTCATTGCTCCTAGCTATAGCGCTACCTCCACCACCCTTGAGTTCGCCAACGAGGCTTCCCCGTGTCTACCTAAAGACAAAAAAAAAACACCACGTCAATTGGGACGAGTCTGTTCTCTCGTTTTGGAGGGACATGCTTGCCTCAAATCTTTGTCGAATATATATCCCACCCATTCCACTCCCTCCATAACCAAGCACTAGGCGGAAGAGGGGGGCTCTCTATCCTATCCTCGTTCGTCCTTGGAACCTAAACGATCGTCCATCCTATTCAGATGGCCTTCGGGCATTCCCAAGCAATTTTCAGTCCATACAACAATCTTTACTTCAGACCTCTAAAATTGAGAGTTATAATTTTCATATACAAAGTAACTTTATCCAACACCATACAAGAAAGATATATTTTTTCTAAGGCAACAAGGCTTGATACACGATTAATATGCTGCTGAAATTCTATGTTATTTTTAGCATCTCAACGATCTTAAATGAGAAAATTCAAAACTAGAAAGTTGTAGATCTCATTGAGAGCTACAATTTTCATATAAAAAAGGTAATCTTCATCCGATGTCGTATGATCTTTTAAGGTGAAGCCTTAGAGAAACTCCAAGAGGCTCTTTGTACCATTTTTAATTGTTGGAAATAGAGATTTTGGTGGAAAAACATCCTCCAATAGCTTCTTTAATTGGTTATCCAAATATAATCACCCTCTATTCTGGATTTCTCGCTATCTCTCTAGAGTACGTAGAAGATATAAAAAAGCTATTTGAAGAGTGAGAAGATATAGAAAACGATTTTTATGCAAATGACTCTCTAAATGATGATTCAGAGAGTGAATTTTGAAAAGAGAGATGCTCTTATCGCTCACACATGTCTCATCGGTTGAGTCATCACGTAGGATAATGAGTCGGATAAATGCATATTACTGGAATCTAGATAAACCTATTATAATTTTAGGAAGCCAAAAATATATTTTGAAATTTTTGGGACGATGACACCACGAGACGAGACAGTCTCGATGACCGCTGGTTAATGTTTACTATTTGTTGTAAAAAAAAATGTTTACTATTTGAACTGCCTAGGGCAAGGATTGCTTGCAGCTTGTAGCACGCAGCAGTCACAAGTCACACTCACACGCAGCAGGCTATGGAGGAGGCATCAGCGAGGGGGCGGAAGAGGCCGCGCGAGGGCAATGCGAGCGAGGACGCGCGAGGTATGGAAGAGGCTGCTCGAGGCGGCGGCCGGGGAGCCTCAGTACACGTACCGGCCTATCGCCGACGCCCTCAAGGCTCCCGTCGTCCGGGTCTGCCTCTTCCCCGTCGTCGCTCAGATCGGCGCCGCCAGACGCAGCAGTGGCTCGGGTGAGCCTCACTCTCAACCCCTCCCATCCTCTCCTTCCGCGCACCCGCCGTCGCCTCATCTTAGGGAGTTAGGGTTTAATCTGGATTTTAGCAGGATGAGGGTTGGCGGTTTGTGTTTAAGCTGTTGCAGGCTGTATGTTTCCTTCTTCAGTTATTCTTCAGTCTGATTCACAAAGTGTTGACCTAGGGTTTGTTCTCGATAGCAAATGCTGCGGAGGCAGGGAAATTTGTGGGGTTCCGTTGGGATTTGTGCTGTGAAAAAAGTATATATTTGGAACGATTTGTTGAATAGTGTTGATTAGGATTAGTTCTCTGCTCAAATGCTGCTTGCTTACTGGTAGGAATTATGCTAGATGTGCCAGTAGTAGCAGTCTCCCAGACTTAAGTCTTTAAATTCGGGCCTGCGTGCCAAAACTCAGTACTGTGAATGTTTGCTTTTTGAAATATAAAAGCAGGGGTCTCCCTCTTTTCTAAAAAAAAATGCTGCTTGCTTATTGTGGGGGGACACGTGCTTTAGCTTGTCCGCTTGTCCTTAGATCGCCTCTTTCTCAACTTTTTGCACGAAGCATTATGCGTTGAGACTTGGGAGGGACCTTCTGTTGTCGTGTTCATTGCCAAGTCTCACTTTTGATCCTCAAATCAATGCTAGAACCCTTGGTCATGTCTATAGTTTTTGCAGAATTCACGGTTATGTTGAGGATTGTGGATGAATCACGCAAGGCTGGAATATCTGCAACATTTTTTGCTGACAACACTGCCCTATTGCCCTGTGTCAAGTCAAGTGGAGATGTGATCAGTCTCCACGACGTTGTGGTACAGCATAAAACTCTATTTAATTATGCCATTTGTCACTGGGTATTTCTCGGAGCTATAAATTTCCACATACCTTTTTATATGTGTTGTTGTTTAAGCCTATTTTCTTTTCTCATCATTTTTGAAGTTTTAGTGTTACATTTAGCAGCACCTAGTTCATGCCTACTCTGATCTGCAGGTAAAGCGTCATCATGAGGAGTTCTTTGTTACATTTGACAAAAAGGTTTCTTCATTCGTGTTGTTTGAAAGCAAAGTATCTGCTGAGTGCAGATCATATCAGACTTCTGTGAAATATCATGGCAGCAAACATGACAAAGGACGTTTAACCCAGATGAGAATGTGGCTTCCTCTAGGTGACTCCTAGTCGATAATTACTTTTGATAATTTATTTGGTCCACCCATCTTGCTTACCCCAACTTGCTTGGGACTAAAAGGCTTTGTTGTTGTTGTTGTATTTGGTCCACCCATCTGCATGATATTTCCTGTGGTGCCTTAATCATGCTCATTCCACCTCCAATTTTATGTGTCACTAAAATATCATGGTGGTGAACATATTCTTATCCAAATGAGAAGCCAGCCTAACTATCATACTTGTGGGGCTGAAAGGCTAATTCAGTTTCCGATTTCTTGGTCCCACCAATTAGCACGATTCACTAGAATTTATGTAGGATCAAACAGTGTACTGTAGCCAACTAGCCATTCTATTTATGAACTCTTCTTACCCAAAGGAGTTAAGTATTTTATAAATTATGAGTACAACAGAACTTGCATTATCTCATTTTAGCCCTTAGTTAAGGTCGATCTCTGCCTGCCTTTCGATCAAACACAACAACAGTTTGAATTTTGTTGTCTAGAATTGTTCCTGTTTTGTTATATTGTCAGCTTCTTGCTGTGAACTCATATTACTTTTTAACTACCTGCTCTCCCGATAAGTGGTTGATATATGGTATTCTGTTTCTTTAGGATATAGACCTTTTACTGTAGCATGTATTCTGTGTCTATCTTTGTCTCCTTGCAGAGATTCATGAAATACTTAACTAGCACGTCCCTAACAATGCTTTACTAGCAACTTTTATAACATCTGTTTCTATCTAACTACTTTGCACCGCAGGTCTGAAAGATTTCGGTCTGAAAGATCTCGAATTGCAGTTAAGGAATTTAAAGTCTGATTCTACTTTTGATCTAGTATGCAAGGTTAGTTCTTTATTCAATCATATTGAAACTCGAGACTTGTTTGGGACTTAAAGGCTTTGTTGTTGTTGTTGTGTTGTTGTTGATTGAAACTCGAGACTTATTTTTGTACAGGGAATGCTCCAAAAATTCTCTCTGCCTTCTTGTAGGTTTTGCGTGTCCTTGAAGATAACGGCAAATGGATATTTTATGTTTGGGATGGAACTGATACCTCTGCAGCTGAGCTTCAGACAATGTAGGATTGTAGGTTTGTCTATGTTTATTTATTGTTTCTAATTTTTCAGCAATAACTAAGAAAAACATCTATGCAATATAGGATGGTGTTCTAGTGTTTTTGCAATACTGTTGCAGATTTTAATCTTTATTTGGTTGTTCTTATATGGTGCACTGAACTTAAGCATAGTCAATGAAAAGAAAATAAGTCTTATCTTAGAAAAACATTTGCTGACGTCAGTCACGTCACTATTTTCACTTAATTGACCTGTGTTTTTTTTGTGTGCCTCTGCTATTGATTGGTGAACATATAGTTCGGATGCTGAGGCAGTTGCATCACCCCCTCTGCTTGAAGGACCACCTCTACCCAGGGAGGTTTTATGCACAATGCCATGTGTCGGAACTGTTCTGAAGATTTTTTTCAGACAGTCCTGTCAAGCAAGAATTACACATGCGAAAGGGTATTTATTGGGCCAGGTTCTGCAACATTACTTGCAAGCAAGACAAGTTTGGCATTTGAAAAGGCGTTTTCTTGGACTCTAGTAGAGTTCGCCTTTTATCTCATGAAGATGGTAGCGTTGTTGATCGTCTGAAGTAATCTTCTTTTCTGATGAATTTTACTGTTCTTTGGACATTATATAAGTAAACTTTACCAATTACATGAACAACTCCAGGATGTATGACAGCCGCAACGCCAACAAAGTTCACCGCCAGCCGATGGCAAGCTTCCCCTCTAATGTTGCTGGTATAGAGCATTGCTCCTCTGAATCACTGATGAATATCTTCTGTTTCATCGTTCATATCATGAACTTAGCTACTGATTCAGCATTTAATCGATTAAAATAACAATATTTAAGTTTGTTCATCAGGCCTTATCTTCATTGTTATCTGAATGAGTGTATACTATAGCATTCCACCACTATATTTGCATATGAAGGTTGTGCATAAAAACAAACCTCAATATTTTCCTTGTGTGCTATGTATATATGGAGATCTAAATGAAACACATGATGATCTTGTCAAAGTGCTTGTTTACATGTATTTTATTGATAGCGCTGCATAAAGTTGTAATGCATTTTTGCTGCCATCTGTTGCCCACAAAGGCTTGCCTCATGACAATTTGTTATCAGTTCTGTCAGATGTATATGAGAAAGAAGGTTACTCAACGTTAATGGAGTCTTTAACTCATGATGAGGTATTACTTCTTTCCCATTTTTCTCCAGTTATTTATCAGTTTTATTTCTGTTTTCGTTTTGGTCTAATATTATCCAACACCCCTGAGAACATGCGAGCATGTTTACTTTGAGTTGTATCCCAGTTATTTATCTCTCCCTTTTCATGAGAAAACTATATATTTTGCTTCCCTAGTTAGTAACACAGAACCGTGCTTGTTCTGAACTCGACTCTAAAGCTAACCAGCTTCAATATCTCATTTTTCTTTTGTGCTAGGTGACGCACAAAGTGAAAACCTTGGTCTGTGTTGTGGCAGCAAATCCTTGTTGAGCTAGTGAACTCGGTTTGCTTTTGACTGATAAGTATTGTATTCTGTTGACTCTTGAGGATCCTACAGCGAGAATTCATGCGTATGTCCATAAGGACGATTTGGTAATATGTTACTAAATAACCCTTATGCTTGATTTCCTTTCCTACAGACCAGCCCAGGTGTCCACATTCATCACTAGTGAAAAAAAAAATCAGTGTTGGTGGTAAAAAAAAGTTATGGATGCTTAAAAGTCTTGCTGAATTAGGTGATCATGTCTTCATCTAAATCCTTGGCAGGTTGAATTCTTCGGTGGTTTTATGACAGAAGAAGTGGTCATAAAAAAGATGAACAAGCTACTGGGCGTCCCAGAACCAGAGGACAGCGAGGAAGTTGCCCCTTTGACCAGGAATCCACCTTGGATATGGTGTGTCTTGATATCATACTGTCTGGAAAAAAACGATCCCTGGGGCAGCAGAAGGTACCGAATCGTTGACACAACGATCAGGAATTGAGCAGGGATGCTGCTCGAATATGCAGGAACAACCTTGCAAATGAATCGAACAAATGTGTAGTATTTTGTATGTGCTGCCAGCCTGCTTATGTAGTAGTATTTTGGAGGGGGGCATTATAGCTGTACAACATCTTGCAAGGATGCAGGGCGACATGCTATAGTTGTAGCCTACTACTGCCAGTGTTATTGCCTTACGTAATGTTGTTGCATTGCCGTCCATCTGTGGCTATGGCCCTGTTCGCTTGTCTTACGAACCTACTGTTTCAGCGAAGGAATAGTATTTTTCTCTCACAACAAATCAGTGAACAGTCATGCCTTTTCACCATATGCTTTTGTACAGTAACTGAATTATTCTATCCAGAACACTGGTGGCACTGTGGCATTCTGTACAAGTCTGTATGTGCCAATTGTAAACCTGCACTCTAGATTATCTTAATCTAAAGAACCCCTTATTTTATTTTTCGGCGCCTTACAGTTCTCTGGATATATTTCTTGTGAATTTTCTGCGCTTTGATATTGCTATGCTGCAGTTTTCCGTTTCAGAAGGAGCTTGCGATGGATCTCTCTTCTGGTCGTAGTATCTTGATCCTCGCGATTGTCACGCGCCCTCGGCCTGTATCATTCGTTTTTAGCATATAACAGATTTGTACTCGTGGGTCTCAAGTAAAAGAGACCTGCTGTTTGGCCAGGTCGACCATCAACCATTTGTGCTGTGGCCTGTGACCATCCAATTCTACTCCTAAAATTCTATACGAACCTTCAAGGACAGGCTCGACACAAAGTCGAATCTGTTGCACAAGAATATTTTGGAAGATGATGCCCTCTGCAGTCGCTGCGAAGAAGACAGGCAGGCATCATGTGTTGTTTGACTGCGCAGTTAGCAGCGAAGTATGGCAATGCATCGGCCTAGCGGGGCTTGACGACGTTGACTTGTGGGCTGTGGGCTGTGGGCTGCACCAACAATCCATCATGCTTCTTGGCCGTCAGTACTCCTCACCCTGCTTTGCCGACTTTGGGATGCTAGCTAGGAATGGGACGATTTTCAGTCAAATTCTATATTTTCTTTCTGCCCCGTTTGGCCGGGCTCCCGCGTGCTCCGGCTCCTACACTGTAGCGACACTGTAGCCGGAGCCGCCCGGAGCTGCACCAAAGGGGGCTGAATGAATCGGTTCGTGCTTACGGAACTCAGTAGCCGGCCGTTGTGCATTCCACATTCGCTGGTCGTTTTTCTTCAGTATGAAAACGGCAGGTGCTCTGCCTTTGCATTAAGCAGAAGGTGAAAACATACAGCAAATTAAACGGACTGGACTTTAGAGTTCCAGGAAGAAACCCAAAAAACAGAAATGAAAAAAAAAACACTGCACACCAGCTGCAGTCAACGGTGTGGTTCTACCTATACGTCAGTTATTTACAAGAACATGTTCATGCGCCATACTATCATATAGCAAGATGTCTCGTTGGATTAGCCTTGCTACCTATGCTGGCGTTTGCCTTTTATCGTCGAAGACTCTTCTACAGCGCTTTTTACATAAGTTCCTGATAGCATAGATCACCAATCACTTGGGTATGCTTTCTGTCAGTCCTTATGTTGTCCGGCCCAATCATGGCAGACCACCAGTGTTTGATTCTTATGCTTGTTATATGTTTTGATTGATCATTGGGAGGTTGAGCTTTTGAGCTAATATTGACCAGACCATACAAGAGGAAGAACGATTTTGGGCTTTTCAGCCACCATGTGCTTTGGCGATTCAGCTTCTGTTCTGCATGCATAGCTCACAGACAGGGTTTGCCTGGCCTCCTCGCCGAATGATTTTATCTCAAGCTGGTCGTTGCTGCTGCAAACTGCAAAGCAACCCAGATGAGTAGATGATGATCTCCATCCAACCTAGCACAAGTGTACGGTTAGCACAGGCATGGAACGGAGCAACAGAGCGCAGCACGAATGCAAAGCAATAGCTTTCACTGCGACAACAACACCCATCCGAAGACCACAGTCTGCAGCCAGCAACGGCGAGAGGGGCGGGCAACTACTGCAGACAGAGCAGAGCATGGTTTGTTCATTCACATTTCAAAGCATCCAAGTACAGACCGCGAACCCCGTTAATTAGACGCCCTAGAGAGCTTCACTATGAACATATATGGCTGTCCGGCCCATGGTCTCCTCATCAGAAACTGGCGGAATTCGTTCGCCGGAGGTGGTGGTGGTGTTGCTGCTGCTTCCTCTCCGGTTGCGGCAATGGCAGCCGCTCGTCCTGCTCCGGTGGCGGCTCCAGTGGTTCCAGCATCTGCACCACACCCAAACCAAGCACATTGTTAGCTGCCAGCATCTACAGAGGCCTCTCTTTCTTTCTTATCTTACCCCCTCCATCCATGATACAACCAAAGATGCACCATGTCACTGACAATCAGCATGGTATGGAACTGTGGATGGATGGTGCTATCCAAGGAATGCACATGCTCTTCATTGGGCTCCATTTTTTTTGTCTCATCAGGCTGAAATTTGGAATGTTGTGACAGCTTAAACTTAAAAAATAAAAAATAAAAAATAAAAAAAGCAGCCACAACTGCCATTGCCTGCCCTATAAGAGCGCATTAGGAAGGTCCGTACACTGCAAATGCATATTTGATTTGCAACAAGATGCTAGAATATATATAGGACTACGTGATCGTCCACAATCCCCGTTTATATAAATATAAATATAAAAGGCAAGCCAAAATGGTCCACAGCTGGTACAACAACTTTAGCTCATCTTTCTAGGCTAGGAACATAGGGAAGGTTTGTCCAAATCGGTGAGGCAATTACCGCTTTTGTTTCACGGACAAAACAAGCTAAAATACTGTTTCGACTGATTCGTTAGGAGAAAAAAACAATATTCAACTGAAAAAATGAGCTGAAAAATACAAATTACAAAAAAGCGAGCAGGGCCCTCCACTAAACATCCATAGCGAGTTTAAGCCTACATCCTGTCTTGTGTAAAAACAAGGTGCGGTATCTTCCTACCACTTTTGTCTAGACTAGAAAATGACTCGCTTTCAGTTTCAGAGAGAGAAAGACAGGGAGAGTTTTTGCAGGCCTGAATCCACCAAGAAAGAGCTCTGCTGAAGCTCTCAAAAGAACTGAATGAAAACATGGAGGCAGAGACAAGTTTGGGACCACTTCGCTTAGAGAGAATGATGTTTACCCTGAGCTTCCTGAGACGCTCGTTCTCCTCCTCCAGCCGGGCGATCTTGTTCTCCAGCTCGTGGGTGTACGCCTGCAGAGGTCACTTTAGCAGCTTAGAGAAGGAAATCCATGGAGATGGAGCTTGAAAATCTTGTGTAGGGACTAGGGACTGGACTGGACTGTGGAGGAACAAACATTCTCTTTTCTATTGGATGTGGAATGGTGGAAGTGGAAATGGAACCCCACCTGCTTCCTGGCCCGGGACCTCGCCGCGGACTCGCGGTTCTTGATCATGCGCTTCTGCCGCCGCTCCACCGTCCTCTCCACGACGCCGTCCTCGGCCACGGCCGCCGCGGCGCCGCGCTTCCGGCCGGCCACCTGCGAGTGCGAGAGGAAAACCCCGGCCCGGTCACCGCGGTACGCGGCGTCCAGAGCCGGGCCGGGGGCGGCAGCGCCGAGCGGCAGGGGCCGCGGCAGCGCGTACTGCTGCGGCGGGTACTGGTGCATCCAATGCGGGGCGGCGTCGACGGCGACGCCGGCGCGGGAGAGGAAGTCCTCGAGCGTCATCTCGCCCATGGAGGGCTGGCGGGCGCCGCCGCCGCCGGCAACGCTCTGGATGTCGCGCCACACCTCGTCCACCGTCTTCTTGGCCGCCGGGGGCGGGGGCGGGCCCGCGGCGGGTGCGGCCGGGAGCACGGTGCGCAGGAGGTCGTCCAGGTTCATGGTCCGCAGCGGCTCGCCCAGCTGCGTCTCCACCTCGGTGAGCGTGAGGCCGTAGACGGAGCCCTGCCGCGGGAGGCCGCGGTGGCCGTCGTCGCCGTGGGAGTGGGACGACATTGTCTGAACTCCCATCCACGCGCGCCCACGTGCGATCACCTCACCTAGTCACCTGCACGGCTGCACCTGCAAAGAAATCAATGCGCAGCGGCGGCGCAGTGGGGAGGGCGGGCGCGCACGCAGAGATCGGAAATGGCAAGAACAGCAGGTGCTTTGCTCGACCGGCGGGGCGACACTGGAAACAAAATCTTTGGGAGCATATGACGACAAAGGGAGAATCTTGCGAAGAAGGAGAGGGGGGTTGTGCAGCAAGCAAGGAGAGGAAGAGGAAGAGGAAGAGGAGGGACCAGATCGATGTATCAATCAGAGAAGAGGGGCAGATGGGAGCCTTAATTTTAGGATTGCCACAGCCGCAAGAGGGTGAGGAGGGTCCAAAATGGGAAGGGGGGTGAAGAGGAAGGGAAGGAAGCAGAGGCCGCCGGCCAGAGCCACCAAGAGGAGGGAGGAGACTGGGACTGGGACTGGACTGGCCGACTGGGAGTGGGAGAGAGGAGAGCCAAGCCAAACACAGCCACAGGCAGGAAGGTGAAGGTGAAGTGTGAAGTGAAATGGAGCATCGAAACCAGAAGAGGGAGGGAGTGCGAGTGCCAGCCTTTTTGCAAGGCCGATGCTCCAGGCTTTGCTGCATTTTTATTTATTTTCGGCTTTGTTTTCTTTTGTGAGAGAGGAAAGGAGGGAGATGAACAGCAGCCCAGCACAAGTGAAGTGAGAGGTATGCATTGGTGGCCCACTGGAGGGAGCTCATTAATGCACAAAAGAAGTCATTTGGGGTTTTCTGCTCCAGATTTTTTCTGTTTCCTTGTTTGTTTGTTGGGGACCGCAAAGCTGAAAAGGTTTTGTTCGGTTAATCACTTTCTCAAGCCGCTTCCGGTTGAAAGGGACGAGGAAGGTTTGATTTGCAGAGATTTTAAAAAAAAAATTCTTTACCATCTCTCTTTAAATCTTACCAAACCGAAAAAGGTTTAGGGCTCCCTCTATTGTAACACTGTTGTAGCAGGAGCAGATGAAGTCTCCCAACAACTAGCTCTTTCGGCTCCTCCATTCCATAGTTCATGTTTGTATGGCTAGGTCAGGGCACCTTTTTTTTTTTTTTTTTTGGTTTTTTGCTAGCTTCTACCAGCTAGAAGCTGAAAACAAATAGTCTAGCTGAAGAGCTAGCTTTTGAAAAGCTGAAAAGTTGGTTTGGAGTAAATGAACCAAAAAGCCGAAAAATAGGTTCTGATGAGCTTTTATGGTTTTTGGTGGGCTGAGAAGCTACAAAAATTATTACAAATGCTAATAGAAAAAAAACACCAAGAAATATAGCTTTTGGGCCAAAAGCCAAAAAAATATAGCTCAAAAAAACAAACCCTAAATAATGCCAAACAATACAAGTGCAGATGGAGACGATGCCCCTAGTAGCCACGCCAAACGAGCCAAAAACTATAGCCATAGTTAATGTTGAAGTATATTGTGTGCATTTGGAACTCGATACTTAGTGCCATGAGGTATCTTTGAGATGGTTAAGTGAAAGAGATACGAGGCTAGTATCCAGAAAAAAACAGTTATAGAACTAATGTATACTGTAAACCTGTGGGCTATCTCTATGAAACGAAATGAATGTGGTAGTCTCCACCCTGCATAAATATATGGAAGGGCGAGTTCTGGCTCGCTACAGGATAGCTAGAAGACCTATCCACGAGAGTAGCAATCACGTGCAACCCATACACAAAAATAGCCTTTTGAGACACAACCAGAGGGATACGCACGCCGAGTGCATGGTTAGTTATTAAAATTTTGCAAAATTTTTCGAGATTTCTCGTCACATTTTTGAACGCATGTATAAAACATTAAATATAAATAAAAAAAATAAAACTAATTACACAGTTTAGACGAAATTCATGAGACAAATCTTTTAAACCTAATTAAACTATAATTAAACATTAATTGTTAAATAACAACAAAAGTATTACAATACTATTTTCTAAAAAATTTCGTAAACTAAACAAGCCCCAGCCCCGAATTCATCAGTCCGGAGAAAGGGGGTGTTCGCTGTAGATAGAAGAAAATCTATCAGGTCATCCATTCATATCTAGGATGTCAGAGCCGGAACATTTATTCCCTACAGTTATCTACAGTGCTAAGGATCTGTTTGTTTTGGGTTTTCTTTTGAAAAGCCTACTTATGAGGAAATAAAACTAAAAGGTGAACAACACGTTCTGAGAAACTTTTTTTTGGCTTTTGGTACGCTGAGAAGCCGGACGCCAAACTTTTAAGCAAAGGTCTCGTTAGATGGCAAGTTTTTTCACTCTCTCTCTATCACATTAAATCTTTAGACACATGCATGGAGTATTAAATATAGATAAAAAAATAACTAATTATATAGTTTGATTGTAAATTACGAAACGAATCTTTTGAGCCTAGTTAGGCCATGATTGGACAATAATTGTCAAATACAAACGAAAGTGCTACAGTGCCTAATACTGATTCCTAACCCCAATCTAAACAAGGCCTAAATGACTAAAAACTGTGGGAATCAACTCTTATTGCCGTCAAGGAAAAATAACCCCTTTCCCTTATATATAGTCCGCCCTAGCGATATAGGAGGTACCGGAAGGGGTAGTTCTCTATCAGAAATGGCGCTGTAACTGCAATAACTCAAGCAAATAAGCCCTAAACAAGGCAAGTGTAGATAGAGCGGAGCCCCTAGGAGCCATGCCAAATGGGCTCTAAGAAAACTATAGTGAATGTTCAAGTATATGGTTAGAAAAAAAACTCGATACACAATGAGTGCCATGAGGTTTTGTGGGGGTATAACCCCAGGTACCCACGACAATGGACATGGGCCGCACCACTAGGGGAGGTCTAGCCCATAGGATCAAGGCCTACTGTGCTCAGCTCTGGTCGGCATGCACCGCAAGGCCATCAGAAGACATCTTGGCGATGAAGTAAGATCTGTTCAGATATGATAGATATCGTATTCCTTGTAAATACTTATCATATAGCCGAATAGATTTAGACCTAAACTGACCTGTAACCCTACCCTCCAGACTATATAAGGCGGGTAGGGACCCCCCTCAAATGCAGCTCATATTCAATACAATCCACCAAAACACACATGACGTAGGGTATTACATCGATCAGATGGCCTGAACCTGTCTAAATCGCTGTCTTTGCGCCTGTGTCGCCATCCGGTTCCTATTATGCACACCTCCACCAATCATCTACTACCATGTATATACCCCTCGATAGACTACCGACTAGATTTTGTTGATAGTGGCACGCTAGGTAGGGGTGTGCGTGCTGATTCCATAGCCAACCAGATGGTCAAATTCCCGAGATCCATGATCTTCCCTAAGCCAGACCAGTCGTTCGCGATTAGATTCATAACCTAGATTATCAACGCCGATGACAACGGAGAAATCATGGAGGCAATGTAGGATAATCCTACCCCTGTAAGGAAAATGGACCCTAGGCCCATTTACTTTTAATTTTAGTGTTTGATGACCAACACAACTAAATTGGACTAATGAATTTACAAGTAATTATTTTATAGTTCAATAGGGTGCAAGACGTGGCTTGGACGAAGGCGACATGATGATCCAACGATCAACACCATAAGCAAGACCCTAGAAGCACAAGAAAAGACCCAAGATATCAAGCAAAGTCCAAGCACGAAGATGTGAACCAAGCTGAACGCAAGACCGCGAAGAAATAAGCTTCGCAAGTTTAAGCACGAATTTTAAGTTGCCTAATTCACCCTCCTCTTAGGCGTTATGGTCCCTTACAAGTGGTATCAGAACCAAGTTGGCTCAATTTGGACCTTTGGCTTCACAGCCGTTGAGCCGATGCTATTTAGAGTGGTTGGGATGGATACCTCTAGACCTCCACACTTTGATGGCACTAACTTCTCCTACTATAAAGCTAGAATGGCTTGTCACCTTGAGGCAGTAGATTTGGGTGTTTGGCGAGTCACTCGTGACGGGATGAAACCCATTAAGAATCCCGATAAACCCACAAAGAGTGAAGAAAAATAAATTTATTTCAATGCTACAGCTAAAAATTGCTTGTTTGAATCTTTTAGCATGGATATGTTTAACCAAGTGTTCACTTTAAATACGGCACATGAACTTTGGTTAAAACTCCAAGAGCTCCATGACGACACAACTAATGTCCGTGAGCAAAAATATTATCTAGCTAAATAAAATTATGATTCTTTAAAATGAATGATGATGAGCTTGTTCGTGATATGTATTCACATTTGAATCTAATTATCAATGAGCTCCATTCAATAGGATTAACGAAGCTAGATGATGCGGACATCGTGAGGAAGATCATCTCGATGCTACCATAAAAGAAATACGCAAGCATCATCACCATCCTTCACAACATGGAGGACTTAGGCACCATGACCCCGGCCATAGTCATCGGCAAGATAGTTGCATTTGAAATGTCACAGAAGATGGGTCAGGAAGAAGCCTCGTCATCAAGCAAAGGCAAAGCTCTCGCATGTAGTGAGAAAAAGAAGATGAAGGGCAAGCAAGTTGAGACAAGCTCAAGCTCAAGCTCCTCAAGTGAAGATGAAGAAGAAGATGAGGATGAGGATGATGATGATGATGATTCAAGTGATGATGATCAATCTTCCTCCTCCATCTTCGACCTTGATGAAGAATCAATCATACTTATTAACAAGGTGGAGAAGATGATCTAAAGGCTCAATGTCAAGGGTGTGCCCATCCAAATTCAAGATTTCATCTTCACCAATCAAAGAAATGAGCAAAGAAAGAAAGGATGTTATGGATGCGGCGAGTTGGGGCACTTTGTGGAAGTTTGTCCAAACAAGCCGACAGCCAAGACAAAGAAGAAGGCATGTAAGGACAAAGCCCTCACATAAATAAGGTCATAGGATGATTCTTCAAGTGAAGAAGAAGATCATCACAAGAGGTGAGGCCACAAGCACTCATCATCAAGCTCTTCTCGTGTGTGCCTTATGGCACGAGTTAACAAAAGCTCATCCTCTAGTGAGAGTGATAGTG